GGGGGCGGGGGGCTTGAGCCCCTGGGGGGCACGTGCTGCTACGCTAACTTGTCATCTTTGATGAGTTCTGTTCAGCCAAAGTCTTATTTTAACATTTCCCATTATTTTATGATCCACAGGCCATTTGGGGTCGCTCTAAGAACACAGCTCCTATTTATAAGACTATTTCAATGGCGAATAAGCTCTGAAAAACACTGTTTTGAATAAAGCTCACATTTCCCAGAAAATAGCCCCTATGTGATTCAAATAGGCGCGGCATTGTGTGGGGAGGCCCGAAGCCGGTGTCAGAGGAGTGGGGCTCGCAGGAGGCTCCTGCTTTTAGAGTTACTGGCTGAGGCTTCTGTCTCCCCCGGCTGGGAAGATGGCTACTGCTGGCGCTTCTGTGCCTCACTTTGTCCCTGTGCAGGTGGGAGCACAGTGACTTTCTGAGCAGGGAATGTGCTGTGATTTGGGGCAGAACAGGCCTGCGCTGCTGGGCCTTCGCCCCTTGACAAAGCTGCCCGAGAACCCGCCCTGGGTAAGAGCCGTGCAGCTCATGACCTCATCACAGAGCACAGCGGTGCGGGCTCAGGCCCCACAGGCCGCGGGTTAGACTCCCAGGGGCTGGGAACCTGGGCCATCACCCAGTCTCTGCACCTCAGGCCCCTGGTCCCTGCCTCGGCTCGTGAGCACGGAACGCGAGGCGCTGGCTGGGGCCCTCCTACAGCAAGTGTTTCACGACTGCAACCACCACTAGCGCTGCCAACGTCTCCAGAAGAGGCATTTTAGTGCAGAGGGAAGTCACTCTGACAGGAATCCAATTCCACCCCGTTTACAGAGCAGAGGACGGGCGCTGGAGCCGAGGGAGACCTTGGGCTGCCTCTCAAAGCTACCACCTGCCAGCTCTGTGACCTTGGGCATGTCACTCTACCTCCTTCAGCCTCGGTTTCCTCATCTGTAAAATGGGGACAAAAGCACACCCCCACAGACTCCTGAAGGTCAGCGCAGCTCATGCGTGAGGCTCGCCCGCGAGGCTCTCACTGCCGCGCCTGGCAAAGGCCGAGTCCCTCCTCCCAGCTGCCCGACTGCTGGGTTGTTCAAATGCACCTGGCACTTTTCCCCTCAGACGGGGTGGACCGCAGCTCAGAGGGCAAGTCACCCTGCACGACCCACAGCCCGTACCTTTCCCGGCGTTTCTGGGAGGCAGGGGCGGGGCCTCTGAGGTGGGCGACGTGGGAGAGTCTGTGCTTGCGGAGGCAAAGATCTGGTTGGTGAAGGCGCTGTAGGAGAGCCGCTGCTTGTCCCGCGGAGTGCTGAACCCCGGCAGCGACAGCTTGTCCTGGGGAGAGATGCTGGAGGAGTGGCAGAAGCTCTGCGGTCTCGGGGAGCGCTCTTTCTTGATCGGGCTTGGCTGGCAGAGGAAAGGACAGGGCAGGGGTGAGCCGGTAACCAAGGACTCCTGCTCTGGTGCTCAGAGGACCTGGGCAGGCAGACAGGGGGGTCCGGGCTCTGGTGACTCTGCTCGATGAGGTCAGGCGTGGCCAGACCCTCAGTGGCGCAACACAGGGGGAGTGGGGCCTCAGGTACACCTCTTCTGAGTCTCCTGCCATCACGGGCAGGGACACGGCCAGGGGACAAGGTCTAGCCGTCAGCAGTACTCGGAGGCTGGAGCTGAGCACTGACTGACCAGCACTCCCACTCAGGCATCAACACTCAGACCGTTCTCCCACCTACTTATAACCTGGGGCTCAGCTCTCTGATGTCAAAGTCCTCAACCTTTGCCTTTCCTCGTTTTACACCCTCCTAGAAAGTGACCTCACCCACAGCCTGGCTTTAGCTCCACCTGAGGCTGCTGGATCACAGACCTGTAGCTCCAATGTCAACCCCTCAGGCTCAAAACCTGTGTCACTGCCCAGAAGGCCCCGGGGCTCACACTCCCAGGATGGCTGCACTCACGAAACGCCCAGTGTAGAGACCTCGGTGTCACCCAGAGCTGCCAGGTTTGCTCGGGCTCTGCCCGTTCTCCAGCTCCCACCGAGCGCCGGCCTCCCGAAAGGGCCCACATCCCAATCTCTTCAGTTCCAGGCCTTTCCACACGAGACCAGAGCTGGCAGGACTCCTGGTTTTTCTGACAGGAAACCTCTCTTGGCTTCTGACTGCTTGGGTGAACGCCAGGAGGCTAGACCTGGCCCACCTGCCCTCCTGGCCTGGGCTGCTGACTGGAGCAGCGCTCACCACCCGGCTCCAGGCTCACCGAGCTGCTGTCTTTGCGGCTGCACTTCTTCCTGCAGGGACATGCTCCACCCTTAGAAGCATCTCTGGGCCTTCCCAGAAAGGCCTTCCTTGCTGGCCAGACTGAGGCAGCTGGTCTGTCCTCAGCACTACTCAGCAATTTCCCCAGGTTCTTTCCAGAACGGCACCTCCCTGAATTACAACTCTCCTAAAGTGGGAATGCCTTATAACGCCTCTGCACCACCGTCTTTAACTACCTCCCCCACCCCCTGCCCTGGGAGACATGGGAAATGAATGAGCTTCAGAGGCAACGGAGGGCTCTGGAAGTCCGGCAAACTGGGCTTAATCCCTGACGTGTCCTCAGCTGTGACTTCAGACAAGCTGGACAATGCCCAGCCAGACTGCACTGTCCATCTGGGTCCATCAGCACCCAGAGTTATGGGGGACCAGCTCCTTCAAACCCCTCTCTCCATGCACATACTCTACTGATTCTGTTTCTCTGAAGAATCTTAATATAGCTGTTAAACGGCACCCGGCAAGGAACAAAGACGGATAAAACAGACCCGGCACATTAGGGTTCTAAGACCAAAATCAAGCCCACGAACAATGCTCTTGTCTAGATACAGGGAGAGGTGCTCAGAAGCCAGAGGCTCTGTTCAAACTCACCTTGTCATCTAGATCATCATCGCTTTCATCCATTTCCTCCTGTCGAAGATTCCACTCATACTCTACATGAACATGTGGATTGAACTTTCCGGATTTAGCCTGGGAAAGCTGAAAGTAACAATTGAACAGTGCTAAAGTTCACTTCAGAGTTGCTGAAAGCAGCGTTTTAATTTAAATGCTGGACACCCAATAGCATATAAACACTGAGCAAATTCTATCTTGTTCTTGATTTCAAATGAGTCACCAGTGGCTGTGCTGCAGGCAAAGCTGACTGGACAAGCGAGGCATGCAAGGCACTGCAGAGAGTTACAGCCAGAGCATTTTTAATTTTGATAACTTGATTTCTCTCCTGAAATTAAAAACTTTCTCAGTATTACTTAAATAAGCCCGGCTGGCTGGAAGGCCAATCGGAGTTAGTGACGTGAAGGGGAGGGAGGCCTGCAACACCAGGCAGCTGGTGAGGTCCCAGCCCACTTTTTTTTCATGAAGTGAGGGCAGAAAACGCTAACTTTCTCAAAGGATTCTTTTTTTTTTTTTTTTTTAAAGATTTATTTACTTATGCATATAGAAGTGGGGCTCAGGCCAGAGGTGCAGGGGCGGTGAGAGGATTCACTAGAGACAGAGTGGGGAGCAGAACAGGCAGATCGATGAGGTACACAGCTGAGGGGAGCAGCGGGGAGACAGGAGAGTTCTGTCGTGCCATGTGGGTCACTTCTGGCGCTGGGGATCGAACTCGCACTGAAGTGGCTGCAGCCAGCGTGCAGTGCTGAGTCCTAAACTGATGTGCCAGCAGGGAGGGCCCTCTCAGAGGATTCTTTGAGAGTAAAAAGTGTAACTGCGGGCCTGGATTCTGGCATTTGGTAGAAACTCAAGGGAATGCAACTTATCTTTCCCTGGTTAGGGAGTCAGGCTGCACAAAGCGAGACTAGTGGGATCAGAAAAAGTGGGTGTGGATGAGGGCGGGGAGGAGGTGGGAAAGCGGTGGCTTCGCACTGCTGAAAAGCACTCACTCTGAACCTGCCCAATTTTTAGAGCTGGCTTCAAAAATGCTTCTCTGCTGCAAGTTACAAAGAGCCCAGAGGTCTGGCAAGTGCAGGCGAAACCGTATGCCGAAGTCCACCTTGGACCAGGCTCCTGATGGCCGTCCGGCCTCCGCATCATGACTGTACTCAAGAGACACGTGGAGGGCACGTTTACAGTCTGTACTTCTTTCAAATACAGCCGTGGCACTCACTGAATTTCTATGGTCAAGTTTCAAAAAATGGATCTGCTGCTTTTATCTCCATTTCCAGTTTCTAAGAAGAACATTTTCAGGCAGATGACGCCTGATCGCGCTCCCGCGTCCATTTCTGCTTACCAGGTCCTCACACTGGGTGGCTTTGAGTCTCTTTGCTATGTCCAGGGCAGTCTCTCCAGCCTGGTTGACTACAACAGGAGAAAATAAATTTGCATTTTACTAGGATGAGATCCCTGGAAAAGCCAGGGACATCAATCAAATTACCGGTGACGGGAAAGTCTACTTTTAGCCACATGCCCTGGCGACGCCAGCAGCAGCCCTCACTCACCCACATCCACAGTGGGCTTGCTCCTGAGAAGCAGCTTCAAACACTCGGGCTTCCCGTACATGCTACAGTAGTGCAGCGCTGTGTTTCCCACGGTGGTCTGGTTATCCAGGCTTCCACTGGAAAGGTAAAAGGTCATTAGAAAGGATGACTGACTCTAGAACTTAAAACTGCAGATTCGCCACGTATTTCGGTGCTCACAACCATCAGGAACTACTTCTTATAGGCGGGGAAAATTATGCTGTTTCTGACGTCACACCCGAGTTTATAAGCAACAGAATCAGTGGCTAGTACTGTGTTGACTGGGGGAGGCGCTGTCTGAGTCTACACGTACAAGCTCATTCACCTTCGGAACCACCCTGTGGGGCAGGTACTATCAACCTTCACAGGAGAGGCAAACACTGAGGCCCGGAGAGGAAGAGTGCTGTGAAGGCGCTGGGATAGGATCAGTCAGACACAGGCCGCCTGTCTCCAATGCCAAGCTCTTCCCCACCACGCTGTTATCCCTCGAAGAGCCCGGGCTAGCTATACTGTTTGGCACGAGGCCAGCCATCACTCCTCAAGCATGGGTTCACACCGCCTCCCTGTTTTGATCTCGTCCCTTTGCATCAGCTTCAGTTCCTCCCCTTAATTTGTGGTGTATAGAACCACCCAATAAAGAAAGGGGCAAGGCGGAACCTCCTGTGTTCAACCCGTGCTCCTACTGGTTTGTACTGACTTTGAGTTAGCTTCTGGGCTAACCACACACATGCTGGGTTATGCTGAACTTATGAACCATGAAGACGCACAGATCCCGTGGAACATCAAATCTTCTCTTTCAACTTCTAACGCAACAGCTTTAGATGAAGAAACAACCCCTTTTATCGACGACAGGGGCTGCTGAACGACGGCCTCCAGGCCCTATCTGGCCCTCCGCTTATTTTATTGGGACACGGTTGCCTTCGCTCATCTCCATATTCTCCATGACCGCTTTTAGGCCACAAAGGCAGAGCTCAACGGCCGTGACAGACCTTCATGGCCTTGGAAGTTTGAAACAGCATCTGGCCCTTTATAGAAAAAGCTTTGATTCCTGACCTAGGTCACTCACAGGAACTGGTTCTGGTTAACTTATAAGGCATATTCCAGAAAACAAAAACTGTACCAGTTTTGTACAAGGAAGTCAACCAAATGGAGGGATGTCTGGTCTGCGGTTCGGACTGCAAGATGAAGGGCTGTCTCCCCGAGCTCCTGCAAAGGAAAGCATAGGAGAAAGAGGGTGTTTGTATGTCCAAGTTTGCCTAGAGCAGCTTCGATGACATCAGCTACCCCAAGGAGTCACTGAGGCTCTCCTTCCCCTCTTAACTTGTCCAGGTTTGGACCAGCATTGAACATGTCAAAGTCTTACTGTGTGGTGGTGGTGTTTTAATACAATGAGTCAACTTTTAAGCTGTTTTCCCAACTTCCTCTTTCCTTGTGATTTGAAGAGCCTCACCTGTCCGGGGTCCAGCAGAGGTTCCATTAGCTCTACCCCCTCCGCATAGACTTGAATTAGTGCAAGTAAGTCCCTGGATTTGATCGCCTCGAGCAGTTCATTTAGTTTAGCTGATGAAGATGAACAGGTCTTTCTTGAAAACCTATGATCTACATACTTTGCGGTGATATATTCTTTCCGTACGGTCCTAGAACGAACAAAGAATTTATATTTCCAAGAGCTAAGATTTACATTTTTCTGACAAGCAGTTCTCTTTGAGCTATTTTAATCAAGACACACTTCTCGCTGACATTCAAAGAAGTCCAGATTTAGACCCCGTCATTCTGACGGGGAGAAGATGAAGAGGGCGCGGGGAGTGGCCCGCACTGGTTCTCTGAGGTGACGAGTTAGTGGACACCCAGGTCAGAGCACATTTCTTCTCTGCCTTGAGCAACCACACTGGCCTGGCTATTTACCTCTACTTTTCAAGTGAGAGATAATAATACATTTCAAGGGTTGAAACAATGCAGAGAGACCAATGAAGAGTTTTCAGGGCACCACGGGAGAACTTTCGCTCCTCTGACTCATCTGAATGGGTGACGGTAGAGGCTCTCTAGAGCCGCCACTGAAGACTCCTCAGACCAGCTGTGGGCCCCCAGGAGCCGATGTTCCCGCAGAGCTTCCGGTCATCTGGTCACGCTCCCGCTCCGTCCTCCGCCGTCTGGATCTCCCAGCCAGTGTCAAGCCCTCACAGACATTCCCCGACTAAAAAATGCCGGACCCCTCTAGCAGCTGTTTTTCTTCTTAATACCCACTCCTCTGTGAAATTATCTGCTCTTTTGGCCTCTGTTTTCCACTCCCCAACGAGGAAGTCTTGTCTGTGTGCCGCTGAGTCTTCAGCACCAAGAGCACCTGGGACATAGACGCTGCTGAGCCAAGGAGGCGAATGTGTGAGCGGGAGGCAGCAGGGGCCGCACATCACCCTGGGGCCGCTGGCCAGGGCCAGCGACGGGCCCGAGCACGGGGCTCGCTACACGCCCGGCTCTGCTCTGAGCACGGCTAAGCCGCCCAGATCCCCCACCAGGGGGCCGGGACGGTTTTCAGATGAGGAGACTGAGGCAGGGGCAGTTAGCTGGGCGCTAACATGGTTCAGGAAGTGGCAGAGCCAGGAGCTAACTCGGGTGGCTGGCGCCAGTGTCTGTGACCTGTGCCCACCGCTCGCGGGGCACGGGGGAACCACAAGCACTTTGAAAGGGAAGTCTCCAGAGCCCACGGAGCTGACAGGCCGGCAGTGCTGACGCTGCCCCCACAGGAGAAACGGGCAATTAATTCTCACTCGTATGAAGTTTATCCTCCAGTCAAGTCTTTGAGGGCTGGGTCACACGACCGTGCATACAGACACTGCGTGGGGAGGCGGTGTGCTCCTGACTGCTTTAGGAGCAAACCGGCCCTGACAGCCCCATGGCAGGAAGGGATGGCCATTCGTTTGGAAAAGACGTCCAGGCAGTTTCTGTGTTAGGATGCCTGGCCTGTTGTTAAGCAAGACAGTGGATCAGGTTAGGGTCTCCTCCCCGTGCCCAACAGGTCAACCTTTCTTCAGGATACCTTCCATGTCTCATACTTAATGCCCTAGGCATTACGTATCTCATGGCCCTCTACACTCCAGGGGGCCTGAGGACAGGGTCTAGACCCGCTTTGTGTCTGTTTCCTCGGTATCTTGCAAAGTATGAGGCAGTGAGTAGAATACGGTATGTATTTGCTGAATTCAAGGAAAAAAAACCCCGCCAGGTGGCCTTCTGGAAGACCCTGATTCCTGATTTTGAAGTACAAAAACATATGCACTGAATGTGTCCCATTATGGTTCTAGCTTTTGCAAACTGGTGCCCGGATAACTACTCAGGAGGAGCAAAGCATGAGTTTTAACTTGGAATTAAATCTCTCTCCTGTTGACTAAATTCATTGTAAACATTTTGGAGTAGGTGTAAAGATCCACAGGACTCAGAAATACAAATAACAGGTGTTTATGGAGCTGCTTCACCCCCAGAGTAAGCACTTTTATGAGTTTCCTGCCAACACGAGTTCAGGGAAATATACATGTTCATGTATCTTCACTGCTAATCTCTCTGCTGAGTCCAGAGAGTATTGAGAACTCAAAAGTGAGAGATTCATTGCAAATCCACCCAACATTCATTTCCTGAGTCTGAACAGGGCGGTCAGCAGAGCCACATCCGCGCTCTCCGGCCGCCAGCTCTGCCACAGCGTGAGGTGTTCTGTGCAAGGCTCTGCACCTTGCTTTTCCACCTCCACAGCCATCCTGGGGGGCGCTGCTCCCGTGTACATCTACTGTACATCTACACAGCTCTAGAGTGTGGCTACGCCGGGAGCTGCTTCACGAGCTCCCTCAGGTGGACACCTGTTTTGTTCTCATCCTAACACAGGCTAAAATTCTCACAGAGACGGCTGAGTCTAAGGGCAGATAAACTTCTGGCTGTTGAGCAATAACCCCTCGTGCCTACTATGCCGTTTTCCACCCCCCCCCCCACACAATACGTGAGGGAGGGCAGGTCCTGACGGGGCTGCCAGGCTTCTGGGTTTCTGCCAAGTTGACGGGCCTCTGCCATCTTGTCCGTCACAGTGTGTGCTAACTGTCCCGGGAGGGTTGATCCTCCCCGAGCGGCGTGACCATCTCGAGCAGGGTGAAGGGGAAATAAGCTGTGCATCCCAGAAATACACCACAAAATATTTTCCTTTGCCTTTTTTTCTCATACCAGGGGCTTCCTCTGGGGGAAAAGATACTATAAAGTTAGTTGGGAGGGTAGAAAATCGATGAGCGAATGGTAAAGAATCCAACATACTGGAAGTACTTACATATCACTTGAAGGGGTAGGTTTTGGTGAGGGGCTGGGTAAATTTGCTTCCATAATATCATTAAAACTATTGTTTCCTACATTCTTGGCCAGCTGTAACAGAAACAAAACAATACAGCAAACTGTTACTGGTGTAAGTTTCCTAGTACTTGCGTTTGAGAATTCTGATTACGAATACCCCCTTGTTTGAGTCAGAATACCAACAACTCATCCATCACGTCAATAGATTTGCCGAGCACCCACTGCACACCAAGCACTGCACTGGAGAATGCTGAGAACAGCAGAGTAATCCGCACTCCCTCTTGCAGGATCCCGCAGGTATCGTCACTTTTATGTCGATTTACTCTCACCGGACAGAGAAGCAGCTGGGTTCTTTCATATTTGGGGACAAACGAAGCTGCTCCAGGCAGCTGACGAAGAGGACCGGGAAGCATTTTGCTTTTGAGTTTCAGATCCTCCTTCATGAAGGTTAATCAGGTAATTTTAGGGTGGAGGAAAGTTTGAGACATTCAATGCAACCAAGATTTTGTGGGAAAAATCTTGGGCTTATCACAGGCCACGTCGTCGAATTGGGTTTCAGTCGCCCAGGTCAAGGAGGAGAGGCACCACCCGCACACTGCAGAAGCACGTCAGGGAGTGGTCTGAGCCTTTTCTCTGTGACCCCCAGGTGACTGAAGCAGGGAGCAAGTCTCAGTAGGTAACTTCCTGCTTCCTACGTCAGGTGCGATCACCGCTGCCAACGAGCGCTCAGACGACGCAGCTGCGGGCTGGACGACTGCTGGCCCTGCTCTGTGGCAATCTTCTCCGGGCAAGGCGAGTGAGAAACTAGACTTTCAAAATTTTTTGAGCCCAGTCAGGGTCTGTCAGGCTCAGTCCAGCTCTGTTCAAGAGCCTTCTTTCTGAGGAGTCTTAAATTTTACTTAATAAAAAAAGAAAAAAAGCCACCCATGGTCCCTTAATATAAAGGTCCTGTCACACTGTGCGTGGTTCTTGTTACAGGACAGGACTTAGACGCTAAGGCATCATGGCAGATGTCCGTGGGCCTTCTCTATCTGCCTTTCCCTGGTGCCCTGGGACCGACGTAACCTGGGCTTGAGGAGGACTCCACATTTGGGAGACGTGATGGGAAGGACAGGGGTTAAAGAAAACACACATTTAAGTGTTTATAACCCTTTTCCCTGTTACGAAGTTGAGCACCGCAACTTTACACATCTTTTCCCTCATTACCTAAAAAGTTGTGGGTAGGGGCTGACTGGTTATGACAACAGCGAACAGCCCCCACTCAGTTCATGTGTGCTTTTATGACTTTGCAAATAGCAAAAATAAAAGTGAGAAAATTTTCCATCATCAGAAGACCACTAGGAGGAACAGGTGCTCACAACCCTAACTCGCTCTACATTCTGTCAATCACACAGAAGACTATTCCTAAAGGAAAAAAAAGGCAGCTTTCAAGAACCCCACCCCAAAGGAAAGAACCAGTTTAGATGAACTAGATTATAGAAATGTATGATTCAGCAGTTCTCTAAATAGGAAGCAGAAAGTCAACATTATATGCCACTAAAGTTATATTTTAAATATCTATTCAAATTCATTAAATTCAGGAATTAGAATTCTCTGTACTCAGCAGAAACAAAAAATAACCTAGGCAATATATTAAATGTACTCATGACAATAAACAAAGTTTTCTCCCAGTTAGGTCATTACTTACCAAGAGTTCAGAAGTTCCTAATTTGTCTAGTTCCAAAGACTGAATGCGAGATACATGAACCCCCATTTCCCTATGGATGCCGGAACATTCTATACAGGTCAAAATACCCAAGTTGGTTGAAAGCCAGGTGGGTTCTGTAGAAAGGATTTTGAAGACAAACAAACAAGTCACCTAATTTTAGTTTCCTAACAACAGAGGATGCTAAAACAATGCAGTAAAACCTTAAGCATTAGATGGCGGCAAAGGTGTGAAAGGATGAAATGGTGCTTGGAGAGGCTAAGATGAAAATTAACAGTTTGTTAGACAGCAAAAATTGTGGTAAGCCAAATGAAAAGTTTCCTTTCTACCCCAAACTCAAAGCAAAATTAAGCTCTTTGTTCCCGCACAAATGTGAGAAAGACTTTTCCTACCAAATACTATGGAGCATCCTTTGGTCTGGGAGATACCCCCGCTCCACACTAACATCAGCACGGGCTACGCTGGACTGCAGGCCAGAGAGCGCTGGGGTCCTCCATTCCCACTCACCTCAGACACGACTCACACGAGCCCATCATGACGTAGGACTCCTCCATCAGCACGTGCTGGCAGTAAGGTAACAGTAACTGCCGAGCACCAAGCGCCTCAGAGACCTGAGGCTCTTCTATAGCCACCCAGGACTCCAGAAGAATGGGGACAAATGTTTCAGGGTTCTCCTGTGGGGTAAACTTCTTTTTGACTAGACAATACCTGAGTAATTCCCTGCTTGACTGCCACAGCCTCTCTCTGTGAATTATCACACATGTACGAGACAACAGCACAAAACGCGGAGAATGCCTTGGGGATGCAGATGGCATGTTGCAGAGGGCTCATTTTCATAAGTAACACGAGAAGAATATCAGATGCTTAAGCGCAACGTGTGTGCACCCATGCTCTGACCCCTTCTAGCTGTGTGGCCTCGGGCAAGTCACTTTGCTTCTCCGAGTCCCCCAGTTTTCACCTCTGTAGGATGGGGATGATATCAGCATTCTGTTCACAGAGCTTCTGATAATATAAGCAACACCACCACCATGACCCTTATTAAAGTGTCATCAGCAATGGATAAATGTTAGCTAGTGTCAATACCTCAGTACAACAGAGGCTTTCTGGAAAAGAAGTTTGGGGGAAGGTGACACAAGATGATAGAGAGGTTGGGACGTTTAGCGGAGCGGCAGGGAGGAAAGTAACATCACGTATCAGCCAGTTTCACAGACCCCACCTCAGTGGGTCCTCATAGAATGGGCTTTAACTCCCCATTTCAAGGATCGGAAAACTGACGCTCACAATAGTTAAGGGGCCTGGCATGAGGCCCCCGGGCCAAATGGCAAACGTATGATTCAGGATAATGGTCGCCATGTCCAGAGCTTTCTCCATGATGTCCACGGGGCTTATTTAACTGGTGCTTACAGGAAGGCAGCACTCTGGCAGGTGCCCGATGGAGGAAGCATGTAGGAACTCTCCAGGGAGAATGGACAGCCTGGGTAAAAGCAGTGCTCAGAGGAGAATGTGTTCAAGAGGGGAGGCTTTTCAAGAACGAGCTCGCGCTATATTCCACAGGAAGGGAAAGCAGGCTTCACAAGCCAGCTCGGGCCTGGGACAAATAATACCTGATGAGCCGCAGTCACAGCAGACATCGTTCCCAGGCAGCCTCTGGACGTCCTCAATAATGGCTTTTGTCAGATCTTCCAAGCTGTTCTCCCCCGTGCTCTGCTCTCCGCGGAAGGCCATGGTTAAGGCCTCCTCCTTGCTATTTGTCAGCACTGATATCCACCTGGTGTCAAATGGAGAGACGTCAGACTGCGGCCATTCTTGCTACACTGGGAGGAATCTACTTTCATCAACAATTGCCAAGAGATTCCTCCCTACCCTCTAACTAGCATTAAAGTGAGAAAAAATAACAGCATTATACCTGAAGGAAAATGCTAACGAATGAAAAGAAATACAGAGAAACAGCGTTGGTGAGGAGAACAAGCAGGAAGCCCGTGAGGGGGCATTTGAAAGTGAAAACTCAGGGCTACGCATCAGCAGCCATGACAAGGTGTGCTTGTGAAAAGGTGCATGAGCGTGGGGAGGCAGTTTACAGTGTGAAACAAAAGTGCAGGTTATTAAGTTACGTAAACAGTCTGACCACAGTCTGCACCAAGTAGAGTCAGTTATCAGTACGCAGAAACAGCCCAAATACCCAACAACTGGGAGCGATTATCAAAGTCTGAAACAACCATAACAGGAACGAGCTCACCAGATACTGAAATTTAACACTGACTTAATTTTTGGATGACAGCAAAGAAGTGTCCATGATACAGTGCTTTTCTGAAATAAACAGGAAGAAACCCCTGTATGTGCGATCACCCCAATTTTAAATGTACGTAGAGATTGTGGAGTTCTGTTTGGGGGTAGTAAGTGAGAAGGAAACCTTGTATTAGCAGCTGATTTTCTGTAAGGAAACAGGTAGATCGCTTGACTCTGCGCCTTTGTGTAGTTTCCAAAACGGCAAGAAGCCTGTTTAACACTTGTGGACAAAGGGCGGAAAGTCCAATTTAATTTTTAAAGAAGATGGGAAACATTTCCAAACCATCACTTGTCTCATCCACAGCACAGACAGCTCCTACAACTTTCAGAAGTGAACACGGAGGGCCAGAGCCGAGTCTCCCGTCCTGAGCCCCCTGCAGGGTGACGGCTCAGGAGACTGGTTCCCTGAACAGCAACCGAACGGAACGCGAACAGAGGCTCTGAGCATGGGAAACCGGGAGGCGGGGTGCGCCGGGCGCGCGCTGACTCTAGGGGGCGCTCGCCCCCAGCATGTCGCAGGAAGTGCATCTGCGGGGCTTAGCCGTGCTTAGATGCAGAAATGGGGGGGTGCGGGGATGGGCGTGGAGCATTTAGTACCTTTTACACGGAATAGTTTCTTGTCATTTTGTTTGAAATCAAAAAGTAGAAATTGCTTTAGAACAATGTAAAAAACTAGTTGAACAGACGGGCGGCTGCATTTTCTCAGCGGCGCAGCTGTGGCTGGAATGAAGCCTCCTCGCTATTCTTGGGCGTTAAGGTCTTTCGAGCGGCTCCTTTAGCTGCTCTCCAACGTTCTCCCTCAACTTCCAGCTCCCAACCTTCTGGCGTTTCTCCTAAGTCCACATCCCTTCTACCTCTTTCCTCTTCTTTCTAACCTCTTATCAGTGCTCCCCTGAGACGGAGAGTGGAATTCCTCAGAGAATGAAGAGATGGATGAGGGGGGAAGGGCCGATGCCAGGTGACAGGGCGTGGACAGAACTCTGTGGCTCCCCAGAAGTGGCTACAAGGGAAATAACATCTACTGGATGGGACAGGAACTTAAATCTGAGCACTGCCCTGAGCACCGGGAAGGTTAAGGGTCACACACGGCTTTCTTCAGCCTCAGCAGGTGGCTGGAGGAAGGGGGAACGAGGCAGCTTATGTGACAGCGTGCGCAGCGTGGGGCCCTGGCCAGGGAAGCAGGATCCAGGCAGGGTGCGTGGGGCAGCGCCAGGACACCTCCCCCCTGCCAGGCCCGGTTTGCCCACCCCATGGCCGATCACCCAGGGCCGGGTGCCCTGCTCTGCCAGTGGCTGCAGCCAGTGTCCAGGGCCTCAGCACTGAGGGGCCCCAGCAATTCCACCCCTCAGGAAGCGCTTGGTGTCTGGAGGCCGCAGATGCCGCAGTTCACACAGGGGGTGTGGGCAAGGAGGAAAGCTCTGGGTGGGGAGGCCTGAGCAGATCTGGAAGGAGGCACCAGTTTACTGAGCACCCGAAGGGGAAGACTGATGTGTGAAGACCCGGAGGAGGGTAAGAGCAGGCGGAAGTAAAAGACGACTTCAAGGCGCCCGTGCAGGACAGGGGCTTTTCCAGTGCGCTGCGACGGCTTCAGAGCTACTTACGCGACGTAATCCTGCTCGTCTTCCGCCTGAAAGTGATACGTTCTATTATCTAGAAAGAGAAGGAAAAGACAAAAAGGTTAAGCCTCAGAAATACCTTCGGGTACAACACAGGTTTTCAGAGTTCCTGGAAAACAGAAGGCAGTAAAGGCAGTATTTTTTTTTTTTTTAAGATTTATTTATTTATTCATACAGAACTAGGGTACAGGCCAGAGATGCAGAGGGTGAGAGGATTCACCAGGGACAGAGTGGGGAGCAGAACAGGCAGATCAACGAAGTCCACTGCTGAGGGGAGCAGCGGGCGGGTCAGGGGAGGTCTGCCAGGCCGTGTGGTCACCTCCGGGGCAGGCGGGGATCAAACTCATGCGGAAGTGGCCTCAGCTTCTCAGTGCTGTGCTTTAACCCGCTGCGCCACCAGGGAGGGCCCAGTAAAGGCAGTATTTTAATATGACTTCATTTTGACACCACTTCCGTTTTATTTCTTTCTTTCTTTCTAATGGGGCATGAGACTAAATAAAGTAGCTGCAAATACCATGCACATTTGTGCAAGCTCTTACGAAAGAAGAGTAAAAAGTGGCCAGGATGCCCTCCCTGGTTGGCGCAGTGGGTTAAAGCACAGCACTAAGACGCTAAAGCCACTTCAGCACTGAGTTCGAACCCCGCCTGCCCCGGAGGTGACCCGCATGGCTCGACAGACCCCTCCTGACCGGCAGGGGTCTGCTGCTCCCCTCAGCAGTGTTCTTCGTCCATCTGCCTGTTCTGCTCCCTGCTCTGTCTCTGGTGAATCCTCTCACTGCCCCTGCACCTCTGGCCTGTACCCCAGTTCTGTATGCATACGTAAATAAATTAAAAAAAAAAAAAAGTGGCCAGGATGGTGCTCCCTGATCAAAGTGCTCCCTGATCAAAGTGCGTTTCAGCCACCAGTGGCGGGTGGAGGTGGCCAGTGGCTGATCCATACTTGACTGTGCATTTTCCACTTGCCTTTTACTGTGAGCCCTTCAGGAAAGAATTTCCTTTCAGAGATGATTCTGAGCCCTCAGGGCATCTCTGACAGCTCCAAACTCTGCCCCTGAGGCAGCTGAGCTCCCAGCTGGTTGTCTCAGGACAGTGAAGAAGGGCTGGGCCTCAGGTCGGGCGGGTGTGGCCAAGCAGCTGCCCGGGGAAGGAGGCCGGCTGGAGCCCGGGAGTTAGGGCCCATGTACATGAGAGGAACGCTTCCTTAAAATTCAGGGACTGCCATAACGTGCAGCTTCAGGCCAAGCCAGCTTCGACTGGCCACTTACCACGTGACGGCTCTGGGCTAGGCACTCACACCCTCACCTCCCTGAGACCTGCAAGCACCGTGGATGTGAACACTTGATCCGGGAGCAGAGCCCCAGAGCTGCGGTCAAATGCCCGCTTTACTGCTGTGTGACCTGGTGTGAGTCAACAAGCTGCTCTGTTGCCTGTAGCACAGCAAACAGACAGGGTGCTGCGGGCCTCAGAATAACGTACAGAGAGCACGGGAGGTGTCGGACGCTCAGTAGCTGGAGACCGTCTCTGAAAACCTACAGGCTCTCTGTGACAACGTGCTTTCTGAAATCATAACTTCATTCTAGTTTTTCATATTTCTTTCTCATCAATCACCAGAGAAATCTGAGATTTTTCTGAGAAATCACAGGGCTCATGGGGAATCTGAACTTTAATCTTCCGAGAGGCGGTCTCTGGGCATTCGTTCATACAAGTTTAGCAGCAGGAGTCCAGTGCTGTCTATGCCAATCACAGCCTCAGGCCGCTGCCCTCCTAGGTGGCCTTCTCTCGAGCAGGATGACGCTGAGGGTGAGCTACAGGACTGCAGAATATCAGGTGCCTTTACAAAGAGTGTCTGTCCCCCCAAACCCCCTGTCCAGGACAGCATGGGAGCCAGCCTGGAGGAGAACCATCTTTCCCTCACGTCCTGAAGGTTGAGAATACAGGGAAGAGCTAGGGTGAGAGGGTCATTATAAGCCTCCTCACAAGACATAGGCCCAGGCCAAGGCTGAAGAGAGTCACAGGGTCCATGGCACCAATTCACGAAGTCCGAGGGCAGTTCTACTCAGAAGCAGGGAGATGACTTTTAAGAGCCTGAACTGGGCAAACCCACGGGAATCAAGCCGCATGCCTGTGCCTGGTGCGCACAGTCACTGGGGACTCCCTACAGCGTTGTGTCTGGGCCTCATCAGGAGACAAATGGGGAGAACGCTCTCCTGGGGCAAAGCTACACTCTCACGGTCAGGGGCGGCTTAGCTGAACGTACAGGTCAGATTCTGTCCTACGCTGTCAGGTCTGGCACTGTCCCTGCTTTTCCACCTGCAGATAAACGAGGAGACCTGAGCTCTTCCTAGAGCTGCACGTGCAGAAGCAGCCAGGACAAAATCCAGTCACTGACTTGGAAAGGAAAGGGACTCACGTGAGATCAGGTCGAAAGACTTCTTGTCCTCGGCATTTGGCTTCACCTGGCAGGTGAGAAGGTTCAGTTTAGCGGGCTGCCTGTTGGACTGGAAAGAGAAAGGACAGGTTAGGTGCAGCAGGATCTGCAGAGGCTCGGAGCCCCGGAGGGCGGGTGCGTGGTGACACAAGGACACGCTGACAGTGACGAAGGCGACGGGTATCTGGACCTGGCTCCAAGCTGCCTGCCAAGCGCTACGGAACTGCAAGCTCTGCTCTCAAATATAAGCTGGTGAGCTGGGTCAAATCGAATTCACTCCGTTAGGGCGGAGTCTCATTTAAGGATGACGAAGCATGGGGGCTCTCGTCAGTCTTCTGACTGTGCATAAATACGCTGGTGGTGAGTCAGAATGGCTGTGAGCTAATCCACCTCGTTCTCAATGAGTAGGCGAGGTCCCTGGAAATGCATCTTTCTGGATCCTCCACCCAATATAAATAGATGGATCTTTCCCCAAGTACCCAAATTTTGGCCGCAATGCAAGTTTACATTACTTCTCTAAAATGTCCAGGGATAATGGCCACCTTCAAGACTTCGTTCCAGTATCTGGAGGCAGGGAAAATAGAATTTCCTATCACTCGCTTTCATATTTCTCAGTGGCTTCCACATGGAAAACACAGAGGCCTGCAGTAGCCGGAGCACCACGCTGAGGAGGGCGTCGCCGAGTCCAGCCAGGCAGGTGTTCCAGTCCTTGCTCTCTGGCATCCCAGGTGGCTGATGCCAGGACACCTGCGTCCTGCAGGCACTGACTGGGATGACATGCGTGAGTCCCGGGCTGGCTCTGCTGACGGGGTCACGCCTGCGTGTCTACCTCAATGCGCAGACCAGGTTCTGAACCCTCACACCCCGGGCATTCTCACCCAGGGAACTCCATTCTTAGGATAAACAGAGAGGGGAGAGGGTCGGAAGAGGGCACCGAGTGACCCACTCAATGCCACGCATAACAGAGGTGGCCGACGGTCAGGATCTCTTCTGACACGCTGCAACTCACAGCACCAGTAACTTCTGTTTATCTTCCTGTGCTCACTGGACAACTTTGAGATCTTTTTCTCTCTGTGATTTCAATGGGATTAGACACAGAAAACAATGCCCCTTATCTTCCAAGAAAGCTGTCTGGGGAGGAGGAAGCAAGGCCCCCCAGGGGATTTCATGTTCACTACATGTGCATCTGACAGAGGCGGAAAGCAAAAGTCTCCCACGGGAGCGTTTTACCAGGGGAAATAGTGCTTGGGAAGGATCCCGCTGCCACAGAGCTGGTCACCAGACCCTGAAGGGGAGGCAGGAGGTCATGGGCTCCATACTTTTCTTAGAAAGGACCAGGAACTGGGTTGCTAAAGGCTTCAGGCTCCAAAACCTGCAGTTACGGTCACAAACGTAGGCTCTGTCCCTGGAAAAGGACCCGTGAATCTACAGATCATCTTCAGAATCTACAGATCAGCTGCTGGATTTTCTGAAGGATGACAACGACACCTGGCGCTGTCAAGGTAAGGCTCTCTGAGAAGACAGCCCCGACTTGGCATCCACGTTCACAGAAGGATGCAGCTCCAGAGATGATTAAAGGAACAGAATGCACTTTGAAGAGTAGTTAAAGGTGCTTTTTGGTCCAGGGGGAGAGGCGTGGGCAGAGGTTTCATGACCATCTTCTAGTGCAAAAGGAGGCCACGGGGGCCTCTCTGCTTTCCATGTGCCCAGAAGGCAGGCGCTCAAACTGCAGCAGGAGCTCTGGGCCAGACAGAAGGAAGAAGTTCCCAAGCTTAAGTGGATTATGTCTGATGAGGGGCTTCCAGTATCTAAGGAGAAACATCGCTTTGAAAAATTCATACGTTTTTGACTATTCACATTTGAATGTGGTGCAGTGTTGAGCTGATTTCCTTTTCTCTCCTGTCTCCGGCACTCCTGTGTTTCTCAAGGATGTACTAACAGATATAACCAAGTGACAGACACGAGACGTCAAAACAATGAAAGAGTCCGCCACTGAGCGTGAGCTGCATCGGGGGAGAGAAGGAGCAGCGTCCACCGCACTCACAGGCACTTTATCTGACGGTGACCAGGACCTGCATGGGGCCCCTCCCCCAAACAGCAGCGAGACAGCTGACAAATGACCCATCGCCCCGAGTGTGAGCAAAGCGCACTCAAGTGTGGGAGCAGCGTCACACCCACGGCCGAGCCAGGAACCCCCGAGAGCAGACGGCTATGCTCACGCCAAGCGCAAGGGCCAACACAGGAGGCAACACAGGAGACCTAGGTTTGTCCGACCAACAAGCCTTTCAAAGGGGTTTCTCGACATTTAGTACTAATTTACAGATAGACGGATGAAAGGATGTGTCATCTTGCCTGGCATTTCAGCAGACTAAAATCAGACTGCATGGCTTGCCTTGGGCTGCAGCGCTGCGAACAGTTTTAAGAAATGCTTCCATATTGTTTAAGTACAGGAAAGAGGAAACGCAGGAGGCGTGTACTGACCGAGTCCTTACTGCTCATCACAGCAGAACCCTGAGTCTAGCAGAGCGACCTCCGAGGCCGCCTCCGGGCCCCACATCAGCCTCTGCCGCTGTGTTCTGGGCTCCCTCTGCTGGGCAGAGCGGGCACTGTCTCCCCGGGGCTCACACACAGGCCTGGGCTCCCCAAGGCCCCCAGCTCTCCCTCCAGGCGGGCTTCTCAGAGCCTTTGGGCCTGACCTGTCTCCAGGGCCTTCCCGCCCCAGTCACCCTTTTTCTACACTCTTCCTGGCGGCTGTTACTCCCCACTTCTTTCTTCCTGCCTCAGTGCACACGTCTTTCTGTTTGGGTCACCAAATGTGCTTGGCTTACACAGGCACTCGGCAAACGTTTTCCAAACGAATGAACAGCCCTCAGGGTAGAGACACTGTTTCATGGACAACCGGTGAGAGGCCTTTTTCGTTTCTTTTACTCAGTACATGAGTCAGAGGCTGAGAACAGTTAGACTCATCCAAGCTAGTTTTCATGGAGGCTCTGGAGAATGTGGGGTGTCTGGGGCACCGCGAAATTCTGTTAGCTCACAAAGGCAACTTACTCCAACTACAGGGGACCAGGTCGGATGGAGGGAAAAACCGGAATTTTGAAGGCAGGCAGGCAGGCAGGCAGGCCTGAGCTTGTGTCCAGGCCTCACCCCCATGGGCCAGCACCTGTTCTCCTGAGGCTCAAGCCGCCTTTCCGTGAGGGGCCACGAAGGCCTCCCTGCAGCGCTCCTCTGCAAGGCAAAGCAGACAAGGCGGCGCCTGCGTGCACGGGGTGCGGGTGGGGCAAGTGAGGTGAAGGGCAGGGCTTACACCCCCGCCGTTAGCACTGCGGCCGGGCGTGGGCACACACCTGTACCCACAGACGCCTGGGACCAGAGAGCACGCGGCGTATGCACATGCAACTGGGGGCACCCGTCCGAGGGTGGACCGCACGGTGATGAGGAGGGAGGGAGAAACAGAGAGAGAGGAATACAGAGAGAGGAAGCTGGTCTGTGCCCAGATTCAGCATTAAGGCGGAACCTACCAAAACCTACCAAAGGCTCCAGAATTATCTTTTTGTCTGCGAGAGCTGGAGAGAACTACCCGTCCTGGGGTGGTTGCACAGCAAGAGCGTTCCGCTTTCTGGGATCTGAGCAACTGGAGGTTATGTGACTTACGAACTTTTACAATTATTTTATTCGTGCATACAAGAACTGGGGTACAGGCCAGACGCGTGGGGGTGAGAGGGTTCACCAGAGACAGTGGGGAGCAGAACAGGCACTGCTGAGCCTCATAGTGCTCCGCTTTAGCCCTTTGCACCACCAGAGAACCCCCAAGTTTCGAAGTTCATCCCTTCAAAGTGGAGATACTATCTTTGGGGTGTTAGAAAAGGAAAGCAGGAGAACAGATAACGCCTGTACTGCATGGCCAATAAACGCGACTTGCTGTGCTTACAGTGGCATGTCTTCCCCACAGGGCTCGTCTAAGGGCGCCCACAAACGGATGCTGCCACCTCTCTCTACGCTAATGCAGCCCCGATACTGAGTGCGGCCTCCTCCGGAAGGGCCACCCATTAAATCGCTCAGGGTCAAGCTGACCACCAGCTCCCGCCTTCCAGGGGCTGAGAGCGTACGCGGAGGGCAGGCATGTGGCGGGACCCCCAAACAGAAGACAGCCCGCAGGTGCAGGAAGGGGACTCCGGGCAGACAGACAGGAGCCAGAGAGGTGGTCAAAGAATCAGAAACTTGCTAGACGTAGGCTACTGAAACCCACCTTGGAAGAAGCTTAGGTCCACCCACTGCTGTGGTTTTATTGCTTCGTTTATGAAAAGGAATCGCAAGCAGATTAAAGGCGATGGAAAGAGGCTTCAAACCTGCCACGCGCTGAATGAGGTCCATGGGCCAGGTCACAAACACTACAGAAGCCTGTGCTTTGGGCTGGGATTACCTGGTTAAAACCTGCCCCAGTCACCCTATAACTGACAACATTGGCAAACAGGGGGCGCTCCATCCAGGCCGAACCTCAGAATTCCCTGGGAAGCAATACCAGGGCTTCACCCACAGACTAACGAACTCAAAACCTCTGGGGGTGGAACCAGAGGATTTTTCATGTAGTTGGGGTTGAGCATCTCTGGCGCCTCAGTGATTCAGCCAAGTGCAGCCTTTCCTAGTCTTGTGTAATGGTTCACTTGGTGGTAAGGGTTTGCATCTGAGATAAAAGATTTTGACGCTGCTAACGTTAACTTTCCAAGGATTCACAGAGCGCATAAATCCCTGTTGCATGTACTATTTGCAGAATAAACAACCTGTAACACGCAACCCGATTACGTCTTCAACTTCTATTCCAGGGAACTGCATTTGGGAAGCCTTTTAATAAAGGCCACCTCTTCACGTCTGCACCTGCCATGTGGCAGATGCATACGCAGGCCTGGGTTTCAGAACAGGCTGCCTGGACTGCAACTCCAAAGAACATCATCTGTGCTAGGAAAATGCGCTTCTCCTGCAGGTGTCCATGTCAAGAGAGAAGATTCTACCGCGTGCCAGGAGGCCTCTGGCCACATCCTGGGCTTGATGTATGAGTCAGCTCTGGCCTTTTATTTAAAAGAGGGAGAAAGGGGCCCTAAGTCAGAGACAAGATGGGGACCTAACTGATAAGGCGAAGGACAATGAGCCACTTGAAGTTGATGGAAGAGACTTGATTCCGGGAATTATTCAAAAGCGGGAGGGAGCAATTCAAATAGAGAATTCAAATAACACTGGTTCAGGGCGATGTTACAAACCTGTTAGTGGCTCTTGCCTAATTGGAACTTCTTTCCGACCAACACAGAGCACTTTTTAAGTTAGTCCTTAAATCTTATCTTTTTCCTTGGGTGATTCAGAATACATAGACAGTTAAACCTTCAGAGAATGTTTCATCGAACCCTCCAGGTGGCTCACCCAAGGGCAGAGAACGGCATCGTCTCTACCCACGCCGGCTCCCGGGTGCCTGGCTCTGCGGGGCGGCCCCGCACTGTCACCTGCTTAGACGGGTCTCGGGGGACCCCTCCTGGGGCTGTCCAGCGGAGTCCTAGCACACTCCGGGGCACCCTACTCGCTTCCAGGGTGGATTTAGCCTGCGCTTACGCTGAGCCCCGGGAGGGCGGGCGTCACTCGTATGCCTGCTTCTCTAGCACCCAGCCCAGCCTGCTGTGAAAGACACCAACGACACTGTAACAGCAAACTATACCCACTTCACGCAGGAGAAAACGGAGGTTCCAGAAATGGAAGACACTCCTACAGCTGTTCAGGGCCTGCGTCCAGGGGCACCTGGCTCCAAAGTCGGTCTTTACAAGTCACAGGTTGTGTTTAATCTCTTGGGAGAAAGGACAACGCTGTCGTCTGGCAGCGACGGTGGGCTGCAGGCTGGGAAGCGGAAAGCAGGGGCCCACAGCAGCCCCGGACTTCTCAAGGCCGGTTACAGAAACCAGTGACCGAACACTGCCAGGAGAGGACCAGACTTCCCAAGGTCCTAAAGCGGTAAAAAGGGATCCAGCCTCAAATTTGACAGATGCCACAGGCCATGCTTCCAGGCACGAAACAGCCAGCCCACGTGCTATCTGCTGTTGACTAGAGCCTCAAGGAAGCGCAGACACAGCTGGCGGGGCCATGACGAAGTGACTGACGGGAGGGCGAAAGGAGGGCGGAGGAGAATGGAATGGTTTTAATTTTAGCACCGTCCAAGGTCATATACCCAGTTGTCAGCGCTGCTGATTCCTTCCATTGACTGACCTCCTTATGCTAAAAGGTTGGGGATGCAGCCAGATGGGGCTGGCAAGGCTCTGGAGGTGGTGCTGGCTGGGGCCCTGAGGGCACCTGCAGTCAAATGCCCGTGCAGCTGCTTCCCGTGTGGGCCCTCTGTCAAGACACTTACACGTCACTCTTCCTCTACAAAACAGGGTAACATGACCACCTTTCAGCACTGTGCGAACTGAAGTTAAACCTCGCAAAGCCTGGGCCGCGCCAACCGCCCCGTACACTCAGCGGTCGGCATCCTCACGCCGTCATCCCTCTCACATCAGCTGAGCCGAGGCGGGTGGCAACCGGCAGTCTGGCTCTTGAACACCGCGGGACCCTGAACCCCTGGGGAGGGCCTACAGGAAAGGGAGCTATTGACGCCAGAGCCTGACGCACGAGTGGGCGTGAAGACATTCCCGGCCGCCACGCGGGCTCCGGGCAGGGAGATGAACACGTAACGTTGTCGTGCATTTTGCTAGACGCTTCCAGGCCACGAGACTCATCTGAGTGAGGAACTCTCCAGCAGAAGGGAGAGGGAGCAGGGCACACACCACACGTCATGAAGTCAAGTGGCCTTGTGCCTCCATTTCTTCTTCTGCAGAGTGGAAGTCATGAAAGCCTAGGTGTGGAGGTGTGACGGGGGGGTCCCCAGGAAAAGGGGGAAGTTCCAGGTTCCCTGCTCCATCCAGAAGGAATGTGGAGATGAGAAGAGAGGAGAAGGAATCTGAGGAGGAAGGAAGCAGGATGGAGGCCAGAAGGAGACTTGAGGGAGCCACGTGGAGCAGACAGATATGTGAAGAAACCGTGCTTGTTTCCTGGTCCTGGACTGGTTGAAAGAGATGTGGGTGAGAGGCCCGTGGGGCGGTGACGATGGCAGCGTTTATCTTGATTTCGAGTGTGCTCTTTTCCTCCCAGACTTGTCTGGTCATCTCTGACCCTTTTCCATGGGTCCCAGCAGTAAGATGCTTTAGCCTTGTGGCGGCTTTCAGGCCTTGCTTTGGGCCCGTCCCTTTTAGGTGGACTTTTACCCACGAGGGGACGGGTCACTCAGGTGTCTGATTCAGAAATTATATGCTTTGTCTTCTGTGCTGTAGACTCACTGTATTAAAGTCCCTTTCCATTAAAGTCTTATATGTTTTGTGTTGATGTGGCGGAGGGCAGAACCTATTTAGAGCAGGCAGGTTTGGGGGCTCAGGGGTGCCCCTCTCTCTTTGCCCTGCAACAGAGGAAGTAAGTCCAAGCGAAGCAGACTCCAGGAAGGTGCTTAGCTAGCGGCCTTTCCTTTCCTCAACAGAGGGAAGTCGGGGTGGCTGTGCGTGTGGGAGCCGCGCGGGAAGTGTTGGCCCTTGTCTGAACCCGCTGCTGGCAGAGGGCTGCTTCTCCGAAGTGCCGGGCCCTGTGAGGCCAGGACCGGACCTCACCACACTGCAGCTCCAAGCTGAGACTTGGAGACTCGTAAAGACTGTCCTTTCCTTCCCTCGTGACACTGTTCATTCCAATCTCTGCCTCTTTAGGAAAAATACATCTTTCTGCTAGTTCTGAAAGGGCGAAGTCGTCATGACCTGGACAAACGTTTGACTGGGACGGCGCATTCTCCCACTGATTGTTGCCCTTCCTACGGGGCTTTTTACGTGAAGAACATTTTCACAAACTGGAATGCTTTGGGTTCTTCAGAACCACCAGTAATACTTGCCAAAAAGATAAGATTACAAAATAAAAGAATACCCAGCTGAGGAGCAAAAAGACACCAAGTTCTGGTGGGCAGCAGAGGGACGCGAGCACCCCAGGAGAAGATGGACCCAGGTTCCTCTGGCAAAGAACACCCTAAACCAGCAGACCCCACTGCAAACATTAAGCACATACGGGGAGAGCGGCAGGGCTGGCTGCAGCAGGAGGCGCCCCCAGCCCCCCCCCAAGCCGGGACACGCTGGAGGCGGCCGAGCAGGTGAGCTTACCGTGGCGTGTGAGATGGTGAGGATGCCGTTCTTGACAGCACACTTTCTTCTCTGCCACACCTTCCGGAGCCTAAAGGGCGCGTCAAAAACAAGCCGCTGGAGCGTCTGGTGCAGGTGCAATTGACAGTTACGCGGAGTGATGATCACCGCGACACACACACAAGCACCCCAAGACCCACGACGACAGACCCCACCCCAGCCAGAAACTCTGGCTGCCTTTTATGGCCCTAGGTGGAGTTTAGGTGGAAGGGGACTCAAACACAGGGAGTTCACTCCAGAGCTGGGTGATGGAGAACATGGCAGCAAGAGAATTCTAGCAGTAAGGAAAGAATAAACCCCAGTTATATTCACACTGGGGATTCTGTACAAGTTTAAAAAAGATAAAGCACGTGTGCGCTGACTTCTACAGTTCTCTGAGGCATATTACTGGTTAAAAAAAGCAGGATGTCTGAAGGCGGCTCAGGTATGAGCAAGTCATGTTAAAAACCGCAGAAGTTGCAATGGCACCCCAGCTCGCCGCGGGCACACGGGGAGACACGGGGGGCTCGGGGGAGGCAGGCCACATGGGCCTGTCTGAGGGGTGGCACTGGGGGTTTTCAACCTCACCCGTGAACCTTTTCAAGGTGGCTGTCACAATCTACTACTTCTGCAACTGAAATGTGATTTGAAAAAATTAAGGAAAATCACCCCAGCTGTCTGCCAGGCGGGGAGAGTGGGGCGGGGACCTCGGGATACAGGGCCGCTACTCCTCGGGGGTCTTGCAGAGCCTAGGGAGGCTCCCGCGTGCCCACAGGGGCGCGGCTGCGCTTCCATGGGAAAGACAGCTGGGCGCCCTCCCAGCTCCCGCGAGCTACACTCAATCTGACTTGACGAAGCTGGAGGATGGGAAAACGCAGAGCTAATTTCAACGTGGAAGAACATTCTGGTCACACCCCTGGCCAGGTGAGAGACACCTGTGTGGCAGGCTCGCTCAGGTGCGGCAGGGACTAACGTGTTAGTTGAGACCACTTCCTTCAGGTAAGTAGAAGCATGTAGAGAAAAGCAATTCTCGGGGCTAGGAGAAGCCTCTGCAGGCTTTCTGTTGCCATGGAAACAAATGACACCGAAGACCACTGGAGTTTTTTTCTCTGGAGTCTTCATCCTAAATTAACCCTGTAGAAACCTGACGATCAGGGTTGGGGGCTGGGAGGCCAGGTGGGCATCCTGGGCAAAGGGAGGCCGAGGGGTGGGCCAGTGTGAGGTCAGCAGGCCACCGGCCGGCTTGCCTTTCAGTCACAGGTGCTGAGGCCCACCGGCCTGTCACGGCGTCTCCTGAGGATTAAGGTACATCTCGGACTTAGCTGCAGAGAGCCCCTGGGTGTGCAAGGTCTGAGGGGAGCGCACCAGAGTGGCTGGCACCCCTACGTGTGCTGAGCACACAGCGACACAGGGCCCCCGCATACCCGTCGCTCTTCTTCAGCAGGTACCCCTTCTTCTCACTGCCATACTCCTTATTCCCCTGGAGCTGATGCATGCTGTATCCTCCCTGCCGGCTCTGGGAATCCTGCAAAAGAGAAGCCAGGCACTAAACACACACTGGAGACAACCGCAGTCCAACCACCACGGAGCCTTCGCCCACTGCTCAGGCGCTGAGGGAACTGGGGGGCTTTCAGAGCTGCCTTTCTTTTGGACGTGGAAGCTGGGCAAGTGCACGTCAGCCAGAGTCAGAGTCCGACTCTGGGGCCTGGTCTCCGGCCGCCGGTTAAGCACCCAGCGCTGCCTCAGACAAACGCACCACGGTGGCCGACCCCTGACTCAGACCAGGGTACACTGGCGCCAGAGGCAAGCACAGGAAGGGCTGGGGACACCCCAAAGGGCCACAAAACAACGTTCATGCAACCCGGGCCTCTCTTCTCTTAGCTGTGCCTTTTCTCCCTTCACATACTCTGTGAAAAGAGCTACAATAGAAAGAGCCTTCTGAGTGAGGGCGTGAGCATTATGAAGTTCTTGTTTTGCAACTAACTCGCACTCTGTAAAGAATGTCTACACGTACGCTGGCAGTATTCACAGAGGCGGCTCTGTCCAGTGCACAGCCCTCGGTGGGCGAGGCCAGCGAGTGGCACAGAGGAGGCAGGCCTCCCCCGGCTCAGCATGGCACCTTCTGGGGGTGGCGCGCCCAGACACTGCCGCCACGAGACGTGAGAGACAGACAGACGGAACGAACTGTGGGATGAGAAGACGGGCCACAGACACAGAGGCAAGACAACACAGTCTCACAGAGAATTGACTTACTCTCCTAGACTTCGATCAGGAAGGGCAAAAGCAATAGAGGGAAAAAAGGCAGAACATTTGAAAATACAGTTAATTTCATTGACAGTCGTGTTTGCTCATAGTTTCAACACTTTTTATAACCCGTAGAGAAATAAGAGGGCAAGATAACAGCAGAACACACACACACATAAACACATCTCCTTCAGCACCACATTTTTATCAAGTTAAAACTATCAAGTTTGACGGCGAGTCATGGGGGTGCTAAGCAGCCCGCTGGGAAAACGCGCGTCCACGTTTCGCCAAGGTCAAGTGGCCGGCGAGGCACACAGGGGCGGCTCAGCGCTGCCCACGTGCACTACTAGAAATATAGGAAACGAGCTGCCCGCTGTTGGATGACGCGTCCCCCAGAGGGCTTTCTTAATAAAGGGCCAGTTCACGAGCAACGCCATGGCCGCGTCGGCCTTGGCCTCCGGTCCCTCCTGACGGCGGGGCTCTCCCCGCTTCGGGGTCCTACCGGGTCCCCAAGTATGTCCCCAATTCGTGTGCTCGGCGAATGCACGTCAGCGCAGAGCGGGTGGTTCTAGGGCAGTGTGTGGGGAAGGCATGTCCCGCGCCCCTAAGAGCCAAGCACAGTGCCAGGCCCGGAGGACAGGCCCGGAGGACAGCCCCGTCTTTGGGGCGGGGTGGGGGGGGAGGGAGGTGCGGGGCGCTCCGCTCTGACCACCTGTCCTGCTCTTTGCGTAGGTGACAGAGGCTTCTGCGCCCTCACGGGGCAAACGGCCTCACCGGAAGCTCTTACAAACCTCGTCTCTGTCTTAAAGAGCACTTTTTTTTTTGTCTTTAGCAGGCTGGGCACATCCCGTTGGGCAGTTTTAATCACCTAGGGAGGAGGGCATCGTCTCCTCTTAGAGAATTCCTCTACACTTTACTTCCATCAGGGCCGAGTGCCATCGCTCCACAGCACCTGGGCCTCCTGTCGCCCTGAGCGACAGCTCCAGCCTCTGGACGGCCAGGAGACGAGGCAGCCTGTGCACCAGGCAGTCCGAGAGCGGCCTCCTCTAGCGGCCTCCTCTAGCAGTGTGTGCCAGCCCCTGACCGCTTCCACAGCAGCAGGTATTTCTGAAGCTGCAGCAATGTGCCCATGACTAGCACAGAGCAATCAGGATGGAAAATCAGTTTCGGAGGCATGGGGCTAAAAAAAAAATGAAACCTACACAGCTTTCTGCTTTAACCCAAATAAATCACGTGAAAATTGCTCAAGCAAGGATCCAGAGGCAGGGATCTGTGCTACAGCTAGACCTCACCAAAATACTAAAAACAAGATCTAGAATCTCCTTGGATATCAAGTCTTACGAAAAGAATAATCTGCTTCCCTGGAACTCCTTGCATGGAATTAAACTTCACATCATCTGTCCACGTAACTCCTCGTCTGTGAATATTGTGAAGCTATGCATCTTGTATCTTAGCCAGTCTGCTAACCTTTGAAGTAAATGCCTAAGTTTTAAAAAGAAAGGCACGTACTAACAAGAATTTGGATGCTGGTGACCTATGAAAACGGTTATATTCTACGAACTCACCAGTAAGACATTCTTTACACACACCACTAGTCAAAAGCAAACTGAAATCCTGCAGACAGAGTGGACAGGCCTTGCCGTACCTCAGATAAATATGCTCTTTAAGGTGAGTGAGGGGCTGTGGGCTAGGCTTTGGCCTCAGAAGTCTGTCCTGCCCCACCGAGCAGGAAGGAGGTACTGGTTTATGTTTTGTATTAACCACTAATGGGTTTCATGGCTTAAGAAAGTCACACAAACTACTGTTTCTATACTTTGAGAAAGGATGCCCCTTCAGCTTGCTTAGCAGCACCCTAGCTAAGTGCGAGAGGGTTTTCTTTTGTGAGAAAGTAAGCCTTAGGCAAACCGTGAACACTAACAATCATCTAAAAAACAAAACAAATCACAACTGGAGGAATAAAATAGATCCTGAATTCTCAGATAGCATAAAAGAAATCTGCATGTATTCAGGAAACGGAAATGCAAATGAGAAACCCATTCAGGCAAAAAAGATAAAAACTAAACTTAAATAATGGGCTTTAACTAAAACCTTGGGGAAATTCCATGATGTGAGCTAAGAAATGTAAACTATAGAATGAAATAATGGTATTATTTTTAGCTCAATTTCCTATTCCCTATTATCGGTACAGATAAATTACCTTACTTTCTTATTAGAAAACCTTATTAACATATAAAATGCATTATATTAAGGGAGTAATCTTTTTTAACTGCAAGCAATTACACCCTCTCATTGATTTAATGGGGGTTATAAATGTTGCTGGCATTGAATTTAAAACCAAACCTTTCAAAGTGCTAATGTAACATATGAATGGACGGCACAAAGGGTTCCCTGTGTTTCATCTTACTAAATATTTATTGGTGGCTTTTGCAGGCCGGGCAATGAGCCACACACTGAGGAGAGAGAAATGAGCAAATTGCAGACGGGACCAGCAACTTGCAAACCAGTTCTGATAAGGGGAGACTCCAACTAGAAGGTGAATTTATTGGCAGGGATATCACCATGAAAAAGAAAATGCTTTCAAGCTCGAGAAGAGTTAGGTAGCAAAAAGATCTTTTGGGAGGCTGTTATAAAAGCTTAAGATCCTTAATATCACAATTTGCCAAAAGTCAGTAATTTTACTTTAAAAAGGAAAACGAGTTCACCAAGTATCAAGGAACTTCATTTACAGCTCAAAAGCTTGGAGTTTTCTTTAATGGAGTCAAGCAGGAATATGGTGGGGTTGAGGAGGTAAAATGATTTGCTGGGTGCTTTTCATTTCTCGGGTCATTACTCCTTTTCAAATTTCATTATTTTTGCAGGTGATTTTTTTAGGCATTTTACACTTTTCTCAAACAGCAGCACTAGGTAAGAACTCTGGTGGCTAGTCTCCTTTCATATTAAGTCATTAAAAAGCATTACCTTCTAAATACATTTTGCAAGAGGAGATGACAGATAGCACAATGTCTAGGCACGCTGGGAGAGATCAGTGCTTATTTATAAAATACTCTCCATACGCTGCTAGTGAAAACTCAACATTTATCCACTCGGGGTGCAGTTAAGACAAACGTTTCTTAACATTTCCTTTTCCTCATGCGCTGAAGGTCTTCCTGCCTTGAGCTAGCAGGAGCAGAATACACCAGACTCTGTGCAAAGCAGAACGACTGTCAAAGTCGCATTTTTCCTACCGCACAGCACACTTCCGTTCAGTAGCCAAGGACCACCATGCCTGAATTTTTCTAACACCACTGACGCCTCAGTAGGCTGAAGATACGCTCCTGGGTCTTAATGGTGGGTGGGTGGGGGGCACCCTCCCACACCTGCTCTGTGACAGGTATGCCTCTCTCTCTCGGCTGTCCCCACAGGCTCCCTGGCAGGAAGGTGTCAAAGGGTCTCTTGGGCAGACAGACACAAAAAGATAATAGAGTAGCCGCGCTTACACTTTTAGCCCTGCTGGAAACACCGAGATCACCTACTTCTTTCTGATCAAGTTGAAGAGAGGATTTTATTAAGTCTCGGAGAGCGGTGAGCTGTTTCTTTTCTTCATCCTGGGTCTGTTTTATCTATGAGGAGAAAAAAAGATTTCCATTACTTAGCTTTATAAGAAGAGTTTAATTCATCAAGTATAACACTCAATTAGAGAGTCGATTTCCTCATGTACTTTACAGTCTCATTTTTATATGTGAAGCATCATTTTCTCATCCTAGGAAAGTACCGGTGAGTTTTGAAATTAACGAATAATGCCACATGCTTTCTTATGGAAACACCTAGGTTAGAAAACTAACACCGAAGTGCCAATTGTTAACTTGAAATTTAATTTTATTTCACAAGTTCAAACATTATGCATTTTGTTCAATATCCTGTATTTCATCATTACTTATTTTGATATTAGACACCTGAATTTTTTCTTCTTGACATAAAAATTTTGGTAAATTTAAACAACGTACATATGGTTGTTTTTTTCCAGTTAAGCTTCCGCCTCTTGCAATCACATTTGTGTTTTAGTAATGCAGGATTTGCTCATCTTTATTGAAGAAAATCAACTAACCTTTTTTTCTGTGGTTTCTCTCTTTACTGATTACACACTAAATTGTAAAGTACAAGCACATATTTTCGTGAGTACTTATCTTGAACTTTTATTGTTCTGCTATTATTGAAATAGTTAAATATTTGAATTTATTTTTCTTTAAGACTGCAGATAACAGTTGTGCCTACAGTCCCAAATAACCACCGGTGTTCTAAAGAGCAGATTTTTTTTTCTTGTATATACTCTTTGAAACACAGTTAATAAATACAGTGAATCATTTGCTTCTGGCTTTTCAAAGGGTGGTGGGAATCCACAATTTGATTAAATTGGCCAGAAAAGAATCCTCAGGATGACCAGAATGCAATGGGCTGATACACATACAAAGTTTTACCAAGCGCTAAATGAGGGCAAGGAATCGTTGTGCTTGATAAACAATCTCTTGGAATTAACTGCATTCTGGACTGACACAATCACGGAAACTGCCTTCTCGTCTCTAACATACTTCAGATCCAGATGCCAAATTCCTGACATTTATCTATAAAAGCAAGTTAAAAAGCATATATTTTTTAAAGAACTTACATTATATAAATCAGCAGCTAGTTTTTCAATGTACTGTTTCAATTTATCAGCTGTTTTCAAGCCATCTTGAAAGAAACTGCAATGGAAAACATCTGATTTACCAGCAGTGAAAAAAAAAGGGAACCATAATTACCTGCAAAAATTGAAATTCTCTCCTCCCCAACCCTCCACATTTCACTAACACTTAAAAAACTCCTATCAGTATTAAATAAGGATGTACCAACAAACCACAGGCACCATCCTCCACATGCTAGCAGATACCAGACACAGCAAGTCATGTAACATGTCCACTGCGTGTGTCCACCCCGCCCCCCCAACCCCCGCTCGGGCTGCATCTGCGTTCAAGAGGAAGACACAGTAACCAGCGACTGCCATGAAGTCTCATCGAACACTCTAGGCAGAGAAGTGACTGAACTAGACACAAGGGCTGGGAGACAGCCAGCATGCACGCGGGTCCCCAGAGCCCCTGTGCTCCAGACAGGCTGGAGTCATGAATGGCTGTTGAATGAATGGCCCAGATGGACCTGGAAAGATAAGAGGCTGCATTATTTCATCTGGAATAATAACAAGCGCTCATGTTTGTTGAGCATTTACCACAAGCCTAACACTTTATGTGAGTTTATGCCTTACCACCATCCTAATGAGTTGATGAGCGCTTCAATTTCGGCTCTACTTTAAAGGGTAAACTGAGGCACAAAGTGTATAAACACCTCACAGGTGGCAGAACTGTGGTTCAGATGCAGGCGCTGACCCACATCTTGCTCTTAGCCCACCCAGGCGAGGTTAGGAAACCCGTTCGTTTGTGGGGCCTCTTCAGCCAGGCCTCTGTAGCTGATGATTTCTCGATACACTTTATCTGTGCTGCCGTCCCTCCACTAAAGGGTCAGAGCTGTGTCTCCTATCACAGAGGGCTCAGCACCAGGCAGATGCTCAGCAACAACTAACAGTGAAGCGTTATCAACAAATTTAGGCACAGCTGGGGACCCACACCCTTTTTTTTTTTTTTTAAAGATTTATTTATTTATTCATACAGAACTGGGGTACAGGCCAGAGGCTCAGGGGCGGTGAGAGGCTTCACCAGAGACAGAGTGGGGAGCAGAACAGGCAGATCGACGAAGTACACTGCTGAGGGAAGCAGCGGGCGGGCCAGGAGAGGTCTGGCTCGCCTTGTGGTCTCCTCCGGGGCAGGCGGGAATCGAACTCATGCGGAAGTGGCTTCAGATTCTCAGTGCTGCGCTTTAACCCGCTGCGCCACCAGGGAGGGCCCCACACCCGTTTTTAACTTAATATGCACAGCCAGTGATGCAGCTGTCAGAACGGGCCTTCCGAGGGTAGCAGACATCTACAAGTTTCAAAATTCTTTACGGTTGACATTTTTAATAGTGAGGCCTAATTAAAATACGGAAGAGAAACACACACTTAGCTTCAGAATGTCTTTCTGCAATAGGATCAGGAGAAAAGAAAGCTTCTGGCTAAACTAAACACCACCCCTAACATTCAGGATGGGAAGTTCAATTTCTTGGTATAGAAATTTACACTCCGGCTCCGAAAATCTTTCTGATTTTGATCTTCTACCATTTTCCCTGAAGAACTCGGCTCCAGCCACGCCATTATTTTCAGTTGCTCCTCCAGCCTTCCACATGCTTTTCTCTCTCCCGGAAATGCCCTTCCCCACGATACCTGCCTGCCAAACACTCTCTTGCCAGTCAAGGGGCTGGCAAGCATGTGCTTGTCCTCAGGCCCGAGTCGGTCCTGACCAGCACCTGGGACCAGCCCAGAAGGCAGAGTCTGGCGATACAGTTAATCACGGCCTCACCAAAATTGGTGCTCTATATACACTTAAATCATTTCTGGGGACAGGTTTGGAAGCTCAAACAGGTTGACGTAAGATGCTGTCAGGACTGTTTTAGATAAAGAGCATCAGGATCGGAGGGTCACGACCTCAGATCTGGGTTCTCAGATGCACCAACCAGGTGTGGGACTTGGCCAAGTCCGTCGACTTCTGTACCTGTTGTGCCTACACGTGGGAGGAGTGACGCAGGTGACATGTTTAAAGCCGCTCAGCAGCCTGTGGGCAGGGAGGAGGCAGGAGGGGCTCTGGACGTGTTGGTTTTCTTCCCTGGAGCTGCCCACGCTTATCACAGATACAATTCTTTCCTTCCAAAGGGATACAGATTCTTGGCTGATATGTCTGTGAAGGTGTTTCATTTTCACTTTGAACACGAAGAGAACTTAAGCATCGAGTTTTGTTTTGATTTTTCAAAAGATGAGTTTGAACGAGAACGTGCTACACCTGTGTTTTCTGACGTTCCGTGCTGCCGTCACAAGCAACTCAATTAATTATAACGAAATACATTTAAAATTCAGTCTTGAGGTCTTGCGGGCCACATCTCCAGGGCTCAGCAGTCTCCTGTGGCCGATGGACGCTGTGTCAGGCAGCCAAGAACAGCGTTATTTCCACACTGTGGGAGGTTCCACTGGCCAGCGCTGCTCTAGATCCAGAGTAAGCAAACTGAGACCACGCAGCACACGAGCAACATTACAAGACACGTTGTAAGTTTCAGGGCGGAAGAGAATAGCGTGTTAGTTTGCGGCGGCACTCACAGAGGTGAGAATCTATTCATCGGAGGCGGGAGCAAGCTGCAAGGTGGACAAGGTCCCACCAGCTGCGGCGAATGACCCAGCAAGTCTACCACTCTGCAGTTTACTTCTTCATGCTGTGATAGGCACGGAGGAGGAAAACGCCACGGACCGAGGTCATTTTAATCTACAGTGCAATCCAATTCTTGTAAACGATCAAAGCATACACAGAAATGTGGTCATCTTTTGAGTGAGATTATAGGTCTTTTTTCCCCTTAAGTTTTCTAAACATCATCACATATTGCTCAGTTTAAACAGAAAAATTAAAGAATCGACATTCAGCCTGGACGGACAAGACTGAGCTGAGCCTCTCTCAGAAAGAGCTGTTAGTGCCAATTTCTAGCTTATGGTGAGAAAGCGGGGCAGGAGCAGAGGGGCTGGCGGCAGGGAGAAGGGCTGGTGCTGTCCTTCCATCGGGGCCCGACGCACCCCCGCTTTCAGCAGTGAGCTGGGCGGGCTCGTGACCACAGGGCGCTGCCACACTTGTGACAGGGGCTTCGGTCTGCCCCTTCCCGTCCCTCCCTTTAGCGGGCTCTGCTCGGGGCAGTGGCGGCTGAGGCGCCTAAAGCGGGTCTTACTCGGGACCGAACCTCACGTACGTGCCACCTGGGTAGGCTTCCCAGCCCATCTGAACCTGACGTGCTCACGTCCTAACACGGACGAGTCAAGGAGCATCAGGGGAGCTACTATGGACACAAGCTCGGATTATCCATCACTGGCCTTGAACATGGACGTCTCCAAGCAGAAGTGAAACTGCCTCAACAATGCCCCACCTGTCTCTTAACCAATCTGTAAAATACTACCAGAGAAAGTGGAAAGCAGGTAGCGGTGAGTGACAGTAAGGACAGCAGCAGGCGGCAGCCAGCAAGTCACAGGGTGGCCACTTGTAGGTCACTCACTGCTGGACACAACTCACGGGCTACCCCTTGTTAAAATCTGCATTACAGGCAAAAGACACGTGATTGTTTTTACTAATCATCTGTAAGCTAGACAGGGAGACTGATACCCAGCGAAGTTACGTGGTTTGGCTGGGGTCATCTAGTCTTTCTGTGCAGGCTTCGGACTGAAGTCTGATCCTGGCGCACATTAATGAAGGTCAGGCTGATCTGGGCCTAATCCGGAATTTCTCACTGAGGAACGGCACTGTTTTGGGATCCCTGTGGCTCCATGTCGTTGCACAGGTAATGGAGGTGATCACATGTCTTTTGGTGAGTCCGAGGAGCAATGCAGTGATGGTCTTAAAATGCCAGGTGCACATGACTCCACAGGCCAGCAAAATGGCCTCCACTAGTTTTCTGACCTTAGGGACGGACCCAGCGGGGTTTACTGTCTCAGTAAGTGGCTGGAAAGAAATATGGTCATTTTGATTGACACAGGATGCTAGGCAAGTGTAAGTTGCCAACTGCCAGGCTGGACCCTCACATTTCCAGTGGCATCTTGGAACACATCTGCCACTGAGAGAGCAAGCTCGGGAGGGGAAACGTGCCTCATCTACCCTGAGGAGGTTCAGAATGAAGCAGAAAGCCTCCTGTTCCAAGATGGCGCCTGCGTCTTTTCTCCTTAAGTCATTCAGTCCAAACAACGGTGGGGAAGGAGAGTACTGTGTTCTTCTTTCTGCTCTTAATTGAAAAGACAAGAATGCCTTCCTGGTAACTCATACTATATATCCTGCTTGGTTTGAAAGGAGGTGTGACTTGGTCAAAGGCTTAAAGGCCATAGAGCATAAGGTGTTTTTTTTTTTTTTTTTTTTTCCAAAAGAAATCACTGGAGCACACAAGAAAATAAAAAGACCTCTTAACAAACAACCCCTTCAGCAGGCCCGATTTCCCGGTATCTAAGGAACGGAGTGACTTTTTCTCCCAGATACATTCCAAAGTATGTCCTGTGGTATTTAAGATAACTGAGTGTACACAGGGGTTAACTAGCTACATATATATCTCCACAGCTCAGAGATAATAAAGACAGGCATATTGAACTTCAGATGGAGATCCTTTAGATGGAGATTCAGATGTCCTGTCCCAGTGCCAAGTTTATTAAATCAAAACTTCTCGTGTATTTGGAGCATACACCCTGGCGTTAGAGCCCTGGGTTCAAGCCTGCTTGTCACCCTTTCACTACAGGGTCCACGAGGGCATGGATTTTTGTTGCTGCTTTTTGCATTAAAAAAATGAAAATTGAGATAAAATTTATTAACATAAAATTCACCATTCTAAAGTGTAGAATTCAGCAGTTTTTCGAACATTAATGATGTTGCATCACAATCACCTCTAATTTCAGAACATTACCAGCATCCCCAACGTCGTACCCAGTAGTAGAGAGTCCAAAGCTTTTTCTCCCTCGTCCCCAGCAAGTAACAATCTGCTTTCTGTTTCAGCAGACTTGTCTTTTCTGGACATTTCATATAAGTAGGATTATATGATTCCATTTTGTATCTGGTTTCTTTCTCTTAGTTTTTTTTCTTTTTAAAAGATTTATTTGTGCTTACAGAACTGGGGTACAGGCCAGAGGTTCAGGGGCGACGAGAGGTTTCACCAGAGACAGAGTGGGGAGTAGAACAGGCAGATGGACGAAGTACACTGCTGAGGGGAGCAGCAGGCGGGTCAAGAGAGGTCTGCCGCGCCCTGTGGTCACCTCTGGGGCAGGCGGGGATCGAACTCATGCGGAAGTGGCTTTAGCTTCTTAGTGCTGTGCTTTAACCCGCTGCGCCACCAGGGAGGGCCCTATCTTAATGTTTTAAATGCTCATCCATGTTGTAGCATGCAGCCAACAATTCGTTCTCCTCTACGGCTGAGTAACAATGGATTGTATGGCTTTGCCATGCTTTATTTATCATTTAGCGGCTATTTGGATGTGTCCATATTTAACTATTGTGAATAATGCTGCTATAGGTATGCGCGGACAATTTAATTAGCATCTCTTCATTCTTTTGGCTCTATTAGTAGGAATGGGACTGCTAGACCGTATCATTCATCTTACACTCTCTGAGGACCTGCCAGATCGTTACCTAACACAGTCACAACTTATATTTCTAGCAGCAATGCATTACGGGCTCCCATTTCTCCACATTGCCGCCAACATTTTTCTGTCTTGTGGCTGTGGCGTTTAGTTATAGTTACTCTAGTGGATGTGAACATTGTTGCTTTGATTTGTGCTTTTCTAATGACTAATGATGTTGAGTCTTTTTCTGTGGGCTTTCTGGCAACTTGTATATTAGGCTTTTTTTTTTTTTTGGAGAAATGGTTATTCAAAACCTCTACCCATTTTTTTTTTTTAAAGATTACTAATGCATACAGGACTAGGGTACAGACCAGAGGTGCAGGGGGGTGAGAGGATTCACCAGAGGCAGAGTAGGGAGCAGAACAGGCCAACTGACGAAGCCCACTACTGAGGGGAGCAGCGGGCGGGTCAGGAAAGGTCTGTTGTGCTGGTGGGTCACCTCCGGGGCTGACATTGAGCTCTTCCTGAAGTGGCTTTAGCTTCTCAGTGCTGTGCTTTAACAGGCTGTGCCACCAGGGAGGGCCCCCTCTACCCATTTTTAAGTTGAGTGGTTTATCTTTTTGTTTTTGTCAGAGTTTATTCAGGATATAAGTCTTTTTCATAGACAAGATTTGCAGATACTTTCTCCCATTCTGTAGGCTGTCTTTCGGCTCCTTAATAGTATCCTTTGACTTACAAAAGCTTTAAATTTTGAAGTCTAATTGATCTGTTTTTCCTTGGTTCTTTGTGTTTTGCTGTTTTGACATGTTCACTAAACACTGGCTCCATGGGAAACCAGTGAATGCGGTTCTGGGCACGTGAAGAGCTTCTCTGGGGTACAACTTCCTGGCCACCCTTGATCGATATTATGATTATCATCTTTAAGATGATGGACAGTGAAGTAATACTTGTAAGTGTGCCTGATTCTGCAGCTCCTAATGACACCTGCTGGGGGGTAAAAGGCGCGGTGGTTGCAGGATAACGTGTTTGTTCTGGGGCGGCGTGCCGTGCTACTGACAACATTCATGTTTGAAGGGGAGGAGTAACACGTGTGGGTGAGCTGAAATGGGTAAGAAAGTCAGAAGCGCTTCTTTTCTGCTTCCTCCAGTTTTCCAGTGTAGCCGCTCAGCCACGGAAGTGTAAGGTCACCAGGGCAATTCCTCTTATGCAATTCCTCTTACGTGCCACCTGACTTTGCCTTGAAAATCATTTTGGGAACTGGAATAAGTACTTGCAAAAGGAAATCACTCTCTTAAAGAAAAAATTCTAAATAGTCAATGCTCTAGAGGGCTGCGGTGTGTCGGTCAAGGGTTTCAAGGGCTGGACTGACACAGGAAAGGGAGGAATGGTCCTTGGGAGAAATCGGCTCCGGCTTCTCGCTGTGATGGAATCTGTGGTTTCACCTTTGGGGGCATGAGGTGGAATTTAATCTCCTAGTTCTGCTAGCTGGTACTTTGACTCTCTCCCACAGGAAATTTTTATTTTTATTTATTTTTATTTTAAATATTATAGTTTATTTTTACATTATTTTGTACATTTTTTTTTTTATCTCAATTGTAATCCCCGCCCCACAGGAAATTTTTACTGGCTCAGCTTCCCTTCTGCTGACCGCTCTCTGCCTCAAGGGAGGCTCTCCTCCCGGATTCCAGCGGTCAATGGCTGCTCGTCCTTCAAGTTCAATCTCAAGTGCCACCACCTCCCCTTCAAGGAGCCCTCCAGATCTCTCCTCATAACGTGTTGTCAGTCACTGCTACACCCCTGATGACCAGACAGACCGGTATGTCCCGTACCAGACAGCTCACGGCTGAGGACAGCATCGTCGCTGTAGCCCAAAGCTTATCAAAGCACCAGGCCTCCATTAAGTGATTGACATCTATGGGAAGGGAAGGAGTCAAAAACAAAAGGATAAAGGGAGGATGCGTGTATCACGCAGACTGGAGCTGCCCTTCTCTCCACCTTTACTACCCTAACACAGGCTAATATTCCACGTTTATGAAACACCTTGTGTTTTGGGAAACTCACCCTTACATAGCTAGCCCACCTCTACAGAGTTAGAATTTGATATCAAAAGAAAACTCTAAAGTCAGATAAAATCAGATTTGCTACCAAAATGTTATAATTGGGATTCACTTATTTCTGTAAAAGCTTCAAAGCGGTGATGTTTCTAGGAAAATTGAAATGGGTGAAAGACAAAAAACGACACCCCAAACTAAGTGTCAAGGATTGCCACCACAAGCTTCAGACCCTACTCTGCCATGAAGCCAAAGGCTCATCTGGGTTTTCATGGTGAAGCTTCTGCAGGTAAAGGTCACCTTCAAATGTGGAAATGTTTACGTATATTTAGTTTGTATCTGAAACACATCTAGACAAGGTAAGATTTACTTTGAAAAGAGGACAGAACTCCTATTTATAAAACCTTCCCTGTGCGTGACTGATTTTTAACCCCACTTAGAATCGTCACAGCCACCAACACGAGCTGTGACCACAGGCCAGGGCGAAGCGTTCCCTCTGTGCATCTCGCTAAATTATTGCATCTTCGAACATTCTAATGGGTTTTAGTACTTTAAGCCCATGTGACAGATGAGGGTACTACAGTTCAGAGACACTCCTGACAGAGATCTCTGGGTAACCCAGAGGCAGAACCAGCATTTGAGCTCTTCTCTCTGACAAGTCCTGCCAGAGTCAAGGCTGATGTCCTGGTGGAAGACAGATCTTCCAAGATATAGCAATATTAAAAGGAGTAAAAGAGACTATCGGGCTCTCCTGGTGGTGCAGCGGGTTAAAGTGCAGCACTAAGAAGTTAAAGCCACTGCAGCATGAGTTCGATCCCCGCCCAGAGGGGACCCACATGGCACAGCAGACCTCTCCTGACCCGCCCGCTGCTCCCCTCAGCAGTGTACTTCGTAGATCTGCCTGTTCTGCTCCCCACTCGGTCTCTGGTGAATCCTCTCACCACCCCTCCACCTCTGGCCTGTACCCCAGTTCTGTATGCACAAATAAATTTTTATGAAAAAGGACACTATCAAAGGAAATCATACATTTTAACTTTCTGGAGAGTAGTATTATCTAGAACAAATCATCTTTTTCTATTTATAATTTTTTAAAGTGGGTTGTGATATTTTTGGTCTTTCATTAAAAATGGAAAAAACTACTTTAGTTAGCACCTTCCCTCCCTCCTGGCCCAGGAGGACCCTCAAAGGTCAGGGAAAGGCAGCCCCCTGGAGGGAGGGCGGGGTTGGGAGCAGTGCTGCCCTGGCTACACGGGGTGTCTGCCTATGGCTATGAGCGCTGTCTGGCCAGCTCTGGCCCACACTTTAACAGTAACGGGCATTTTTTTCCCCACATGCAAATCTACCAGAAAATTCATGAAGCTAACCCAGCAAGCACACGAGAAATGAAAAAGCAACTGTGCTGCCCAGATTTTCAAACATGGTAAAAAGGCACCAAGGAAACAGAGCTGGCTGGTGGCTCTCTCGAAGCATCACCAGCAATGAGGACGGCGCGTCAGGCTGTCAAGGACATCAGCTTGTGCAAGTAAGAAAGCAGGTTCCAGCAAGAGTTACTGATTCACAGAAACGCCATGCTACTTCTCATCATTTGGCCGTGGATGGCCCTTGCATCACCAGCACGGTGACCAAAGGAAGACCAGAAAGAGGGACTGAGAGGGGAACAGACAACTGACCGGGCCTTCCCTGCGCTCACAATCACGACGGTAACGGTCCACTTACTTGCACTGTGCGTGGTAATACTTGATAAGATTCTGCAGCAGGTCCACACCCTTTTTGGTCTTGATTTCATTAACTTTAATGAGATACTGTGGAAATAAAACAGAATTTTATGCGGGTCATGGCAGACGGGGCACTTCAGTCACAGGCTGCGGTGTCCGACCAGCGAATACTACGCCTCGGGTGTCTGAAGACAGAGTGAGTCTTGCTTGGGGAACACTCACCTGGCAGCCACAGGTGGACCAAACAATTAGAGGGTTAGCATCGTCTACGCTTAAGATTAGTTGACTAAACAGGCAGAAATCAAACACAACAAAACATTCTGAATAACTCATTAATTCCCCTGTGCAGTGGGTCTCAAACTTCCGGCTCTCGTCACCAAAACCATCTTGTTCTTTGTTAAGTGGCATTCACCTCAAGGAATATGCTGCATGGCAGAGACTCACAGACCAACGACATGAATGAGAAGGAATTTTTGCTACTAAGGAACCAAAGAATAAAAATGACGATGTATTTATTCGTGCAAGGAACGTCTCTCATTAGTGACTCTGAGTTTTACAGCTGGTCAAGATCTTTCATTGATGTTGTTTTCTTGATCTGTGATATTAAAGTAGTCACAAGTGACAAGTTCAAGTAGGAGTTAAGCTCATGACTGGGGTGGGTGGAGGAAAAATTAAAGAAAATTGGGAGGAAAACTTAAAAATTGAGACAATGCTATGCATTTTAGCATCTGACAAACACTGCAAGAGGAACTCCAGGACTCTGACCAGCTCTAGGGGAGAGGAACCGGTTTGAGACTCACTGCTCTAAGTGTAAGGCAGCATGCTTTGCACTGCATTTTTTCCCTATTAACTCGGATTTCTCAATGACTACTTCACTTAAGCTTTCAATCAAACTAGACACATGGTTAACAAAAGAAACATGCGCTAGTCCTGCACCAGTAAAATGTACTGTTCACCAGTGTTACCCTCGCCCACATTTTTTCCACACTCAATCACAAGCAACATTAAAGTTCTCACCAGAGAATCCTGTTTGGGCTTAAAGAGCCCCATAGGACCAAGGCTCAAAACAAGAGACAACAGTGAAATGGCGGATCCCATAAGGCTTGGAGAAAAATGGAGATTAGAATCCTTAAGAAACTTCCCTCTGCTAATAATCACAGCCTGCATTTCAGCATAAAAGCTGCTGAACGCAGTAAAGGTCACAGTTAATACGATTCTGGGCATGTGTAGAAGAGGCAGTGCTTACTTCACACATTTGGAGCTGAAAGAGGCGTCTCTCCTTCTCCATCTCTTCTGCGATCTCAGCCCCGGTGATCTCGGTGCGAATCATCCCGTGCTGTTTTGCATGCTCTCTTTTCTCCTTCTCAATTTTTGTGCTGTAATGAGGGCAGATGTCATCAGTTACCAAAAGCAGACGACACACTCACATTTCCCTTTAATTTGAGTGCCTTGATTATTTCTTAATTACTGAAGTCAGGAGGCAGGAATTCCTGACAGAATTTATCAAAACTCAAACTCTACATTCAAAGAGAATAAATACTTTGTATATGGATTTCCACCTCGGGCAACTTCTAACACGCGGATTAATAGAAATCCTTTCCCATTTTGGTTGGTCTGAAGACATGCTAATTGTACTTTTTCTTGGGTAAATCACTTAAGATGAGTGGTTGGAGATCAGAGAGTTGGAGACCTGAGGTAAAGCGTATACCGATTGTCAACAGATTATGAAACTTAGAACAGTTCAAGACAAAGTCTATCAAGACAAAGTCTATCATGAAGCTTTGTGGTAGGCACGAAAATCACTCCAGGGTAATTTCCAAACCTGGGCAGTTTCTGTGTTCCAGTTACACACTTTAGTCACTCAACCACGTGGCATTGGATTGTATAAAACAGGACTGTGAGAAATCCCAGTCTCTAGTCTGGAATCCTATGGAAATGTTCCTCAGTAGGGAAGAGGTCAGGAAGAACCAGGGAAGAGGAGGGCCCAGGGCTCGAGCCGACGCTTGGCTCCGACTGGCAATGCCCGGTGAGAACATCCACGGTCACAGCCCTCTTTCTGAAAATCTGTTTCGCTTGAAACAAGACGCTAAGTTCAAAAACAGCCCATAATTTCTAATTGTAAAATGTGAAGACGAAGGAACCGATTTAGCCTTCAAATCTTCTTTTAAATTGTGGCGGTGGGAAATCAAGCACCAGAGAAAGCTGACCTCCACGTCCACAGTGGTAGAAAATGAATCTGTCGTCCCAACGGAAAAATCAACGACCATTCGATTGGGTTTCACTCTACCACCCACCCTCATGTTGTGTCTGCAAACCCTTCATCACGCCACCACACGGGGGAAGCAGGGATCTGATGGGGAGAAAGTGCACCGCAGCTCTCTCTCCACCCTGGAGGGCAGGAGAAGCTGCAGGAAGCTAGAGCGACTTGCAGGGCATGGCCTAGTGGTGCTGACTGACTTGTGGGTCAACCAGCTGAGTTGAGCACCTGTGTTCATGTCTTCCTCCTTCAGCATTCCCACTAAACGACTAGTAAGGTCATTCACAGACCAAGTGTAGTCTCCCAAAGACAAGAACTGGAGACCAAAGGATGAGAGAAACATGAGTATTTGCAAGAATAAATCTGAGAAAGACTAAGAGGAAGTCTGCACCCCGAACAGTAGGGCTCCCTGCCCCCCGTAGTACAGATTCCAGAATGTCCCTGATACGATCACTGGGTGGGGGTGAGGAGCTGGGTCGCCCCAGAAGACAGACCTCAAGAGAGTGACATTTCGAAATACAATGGATAAAAAAGCTGTCTTGATATCCTGGGACTTAAAACCCCAAAGGCTGCTCACGGCTTTCCTGACAGGCCCTGATCTACACGAGCTTCTGGTCAACCTCCATGTGCTCTGCTCTGAAATGTGAACGGGCAGAAAAGGATGAGAAGGTAACGCTAGAGAAAAGGTTCCAGAACAAGCTCACAGGAGCAAATGGCAGAGGTGGGGGTGTGGGGAGTAACCCGGGGGCAACCAGAGAGCTGAAGGAGTCGCAGCTCAGTCTGAGCTTGTTGGTCACTCTCCGGCACCGAGGCCACTTGACTGCCAAAGTACATGTCACTCCGGAAAACCTGTGCCTCTCACACCTGACAAGGATGGGTGAAGAATTTTTAGCTAGCAGGTATTAGTTGCAGGCTCTGTCCTTCTTCCAATTATTTTTTTTACATGCAAATTCACAATAATTTTAAAAAGGGGTTACCAAAAATCAAACAAAAAACTACTTACAACTTTGTCTCATAATCTTTCCAAGCTTTGTCAAATGGCTTCTTGAGATCCTTAGAAGAAAAAAAACGAAAGAGAAATAACAGAATGTACTTTTTTCTTTTTGGAATGCACTTTTTGCTTAAAGGGGAATAAAGAATTTTGAAATAGCATCTTAGCAAAGATGTCTTCCTCTCTGGGACCCTTGTAACTTCACCCAGGCACTTTCACACACACCACACCATTCGCTACACACGCAAAGCTGGCCGTTGCAGCGGGAACCAGTGATTTTGCCAAGAGACTGGGGACCGCCTGCCATGCCCACTCCGGTACCCTCCCAGTTTCCTGGAGGTGTCTCATCTTGCTCTCAGTTAGTGACATGATGGCATTCATGGCATGCCTTTGCCAGTGGTCATTTTCCATACCAAAAAATGTTCAGAGTGGCTTTCAAAATAGCAGTACTGCTCTGATCTTAAAAGAGGCAAAGAGGCAGTTCTTTAAAGCTAGAGTGAAGATCGAATTCCTGAATACTTACTCCTTTGACCCCTTTTAGGTCTCCTTTCAACAAGGAATCCAAGGTGAAGATCACATTGTGGCTCAGACCCTGGAGCTGAAAACAAACCCGAGACGGGAGATGGTTAAAACAACGAACAGCAAAGCCAGTCAATGTGGCCCGAGGGTCCCCACAGAGGGCGGCACGGGGTCCTGCTTGGGCCGTGTCCTCCAAGCTGAGAACCTCCTGAAGACGACAGTGAATTCCAGAAGGGCAGCCACGAGCCAGGGAACAGGAGTTTTCACTGTTCTGAGGTAGAGGGAGGTCTGGATCACCTGGGTTTTGATGGCTCAAAGGTGTCTACCTAGGAGGGGGTTAGCATGCTCACGGCTCTATTTCTAGAAGTTAGGAACACTTCCTGTCAGAGTAGATGCTTCACAAATATTTGCAGAAAGAAGGAAATACAGAAATGTGTGCATGGTTCTTCTCCACAGAACTGTTTATGCTGATGAAAGGCTCAGTGGACAGGTTCAATAAATTATGGAGGTTCTAAGGTTCTTTATGTCTAACTTTGAAATGTCTCTGACACAAATGCTAGGTGGGAAAAATATTCATGGAGTACATGGATGTGTACAGAAAGAGGGAAAAAAATCTGTCCATGTCTAAGCCCCTTCAGGAAGGTCAGAGTGTCCTGCTGAAAATGCTGTCCCCAGAGAAGGATGATGGTGTTTGAGGGAGAGGAGAGGATTTTACTCTTTGCTTTTTGGCATTAAACAAACAAACAAACAACAACAAAAACCTGCTGGGCTCTCCCTGATGGCACTGCAGCACCAGTTCGATCCCCTGCCAAGGAACTGACCCACATGGTGGGGCTGACCTCTTCTGACCCGCCCACTGTTCCCCTCAGCAGTGCGCTTCGTTGATCTGCCTGTTCTGCTCCCCACTCTGTCTCTGCTGAATCCCCTCACCCACCACACCACTGGCCTGTACTCCAGTTATGTAAGCATAAATAAAATAAATCTTTAAAAAAACTGCTTTTTGATTAATAACTACTGTATTATTTATTCAAAAAAATTTTAATGAGAATATAGAAATTAGAAATCATTTTTAACTTTTAGTCCTAAATCAGTTTTCTTTTTTTAAACCAGTGCCTCACATCTGTAGTGATATAAAGTAGAAAACACACTGATGGACGGCTGTATTACAAGATAGGGAACTCTGTGGTTAGTACTGAACTGTGGTTAGTACTGTTTGAAGGAAAAGTCTTCAAAAGTCATGTGTTCACCACACAACAAACATAGGTCGTGACATTTCAACACCATCACTGTGGTCAGGCACAGGGCTGGAGCCATGAGGGTGGAGAGCCCCAGTAATTCACAATTTCTTGTGGTTTTCCACACCCATACCCTTGGAGGTGGACAAGAACCCATGGCAGCAAAATATCATGTACTGTGATTTCAGAATCTCCCCAGAACGGACTGTATGGAGAGGCTGCAGAAAAAAAAGTAAACGGAGACTTCCTAACGTGCCTCCCAGGAATAAATAGGTTAATTTATAACTGGCAAAGGAGATTGTTTTAAGTATCATTGTTTAAGAATAATAACCTCCGGGGGCCTCCCTGGTGGCGTTAAGTCTCAGTGCTTTTAAGCCATTACCATCCACTGCATGAGTTCGATCCCGGCCAGAGAGGGACCCACACGGCACAACAGACTTCTGTCTCCCCACTGCTCCCCTCAGCGGTGGATTTCAGTCACTCTGCTTGTTTTGTTCCCCACTCTGTCTCTGGTGAGTCTTCTCAGCCCCAGCCCAAACTTCTGGCCTGCTCTTGTATGCATAAATAAATAAAATACATCTTAACAAAAAAAAAATCCCATTATAAAGACAAGGAGACAAGTCAAAGAGAAAGCAGATGCACATCTTTTTTATTTCCCACAGAGGCTGAGGTTGGCTTATGCTGCCTTGATGCAGCACCCCCCCAATTCCGGGGTGCGGGGTGGTGAGCAGCTGCCCCCACTGCGGGCAGATGGAGACCCTGCCCTTGAGGCATTGCGTTCAAGAGATCCTTGGTAGGCACCCGGATGAAAGCAGTTCTTCTCAGAGGCGGAGGCTACGCCAAGCCTTGGTGGCCAGCTGGTCCAGGTCCCCACACCCGTCTTGGGGACACTGTTAGGAGCTATTTATCGACAGGCAAACCCAAAGTTCCTCCATGGAGACAAAACCTATTTTCTCAAACAAAGGGCCTTCTTTGTGACAGAGAGGGAACACACGGCTTTACATAACCTTCCTAGATCATTACTTTCTAGTACTTTTCATGGTCTGAGTAAGAGCTGTGAACTCATGGGCAGAAACACAAGTGTGCTGACCCCAAGCCGGCCAACGTAAGACAACAGTTGCAGGCCTGGACTTCCTGTGGCATCTGCGTTATCATCGGAGGCTGTTTAAATAAAAGCCTTTCCAGTCTGCTGTTTCATGATTTCCCTTTTATTTTACAAAACTCTATTGATTGCTCCATTTCCACTTACTGAACTTCTGATCCATTTCCTTCCTTTGATGGTAAAGTCTGATGATCCCATAAGCTCTTTACATAACTCAAGACTGCAAGGGGCTGAAGAGAATGTTTAAAACGCACATCATCTTTATCTTATTAAGCAAGGAACGCATTAAAAACGACTTCAGGAATGACTTCCAAACAAACTGCTTATCTCCTCCCTCTCAAAGGCCCACGGTACCTTGCTAGTACATACATATACCCAAGCAGAACCCTGGAATAACTCCTCATTCTGCAAAAGCGACTGGTTCTAACAAGTAAACCGTAATGATGTTGGCGCTGATAAACCCAATCACGCCTTCAACGGTTGAGACACGACCAGACCCTCTACAAGCAGCCCACATAATCCGAGTCCTCCGGAAACCTTCATGAACTTTCTTTGCATCTAGGAAACACCAGTCTTCTGCCCTGTATCATTTTACTGCAAAATGAAATCATCTCACTTACTCACTTGCTAGTCTATCACACGCCTTTCGTCTCTAGAAGGTGCTTCTGAAGGGCAGCACTCACACCTGTCTGGTTACTCGATCGACCCGAGCAGGAATCAGGGACAGCCGGATGGCTTCACCACCGACTGCACTTCCGGCCTGGCAGGGCTGCTGGGCTTCAGGCTGGGGGGGGGGGGTCTGGGCCGGGAGCACGGGCAGGGGTGGTTTCCTCCCAGGGGCACCCCACCTCTCCCAGCGGCCCCCACACCTCCCCGAATCAGCTAAAGGGCACCATTTGCTGGCGCTGTCATGTTGCACTGTCACGTTCTCTCTGCACCGCCCTTCTGCAGACAGAACCGTTTCTTTGCGAGTAAGCCAGTGCCGACCTGCTGACTTGTGCAACACATTGGAAAATCCAATTAAAATAACGAGCCAGCTCCCAGCAGTTAAGCTCTGACTCCCTGGTATAAATTAGGCATTCTGGCCCATGCGTTAACTCCTTCATGCCCTAGAGTTACCACCTTGATGCTATTTGATGTTGGAGCGCTGTCATGAGGACAGTTTCCAGGGTAATATGACGGCGGAAAGGGTTCTGAGCAGCGCAAGAGCCCAGAGGCTCGAGAGCCTGGGGACTCCGGGCAAACTTTCAACCTTCCAGACGTGGGTCCTGGCTAAAGCAGGTGTCCCCGCGGCAAGCTTCTGTACGTGCCAGCGCTGCTGCAGGCCTGAGGGAGAGCCGACTCACCGACAAGCCCCCTCTGCAGCAGGCAGGGGCGGTGGCATTTACACGCATTACTTCGTGGCTACCTGACGCCTGCGCAGGGCACCGGCTGCGCATTCAAACGCAGCCGGCGGCTGGGCAGGGGGTTAGGCCGCGAACCTGGTCTAGTCCAGACGAGCGAAAGGTTGGCAGCCCACTACCTGCTTGGAACGACCGGAAGCGTTTCAGAGAAAATGACACTGTATTGAAGAACATGCAACAGTACTGACCTGTGGAGCTATTTTACTTGGTCGCTCATATGCAGGAAGGGAGAGAAAAGATACTTAGAAATCCAATAGCTGAGTGAGACATACTAACCTCTGCTCAAAGATTTGTGGGTGGCGACACCCAGCGAGGTATGTGTCTAAGCCTAGTCATTTGACCTTCCAGAGACTTCGTCTTGCTTATAAAGGGGGATGCAGGAGCTCCTCCCCTTCTCAAGAGGCTGCAGGAGGGACAGACATGGCCGCCTCACTCACAAAAGGCCCAGCACTATGCAGCTGCTTAATAAAATGCAGCGAGGTTGATTTTCTTAGAATTCTTTAGACTTAAAAAGCTCTGCAGTGGTGAGGGGAAAAAAATATAATGATAGCATTTCAGATACTGGAATAGATGCTCTGCAGATGGGGTGGGGATAGAGGGAATCCCAGATGTCATTCCAGGTGCTCCACGCTCCTCCTTTGGGTAAGTTCTGCCTCTGGCTGCAAGGCAGACTCTAGAATCTGCAAGATGATACATCTGATAGGCCACGCGCTCTTTCAAGGCAGAGCGGCCTGAGTCCCATACATTAGAAAGACAGATGCTACTGTCGACATGTTATCTGAAGTTACTGCTCGTAACAGCTCTGTGGTCTTACATCTGGTCAGTGAGGAAATGGGCTCAGAGAGCTAAGTAACTGGCTCTAGGTTAAACAGCGGGAAGAGCAGATGATGATGCTATTCATTACCTATTCACATTCCCAGGTGTCGTGCAGACAGAGTGGTTTTCTCATCAGCTTAAAATCCATCGAGGAGGCCCTCCCTGGTGGTGCAGCGGGTTAAAGCACTGCACTGAGAATCTAAAGCCACTTCCGCATGAGTTTGATTCCCGCCGGCCCCGGAGGTGACCACATGGCGCGGCAGACCTCTCCTGACCCGCCTGCTGCTCCCCTCAGCAGTGTACTTTGTCGATCTGCCTGTTCTGCTCCCCACTCTGACTCTGGTGAAGCCTCTCACTGCCCCTGCACCTCTGGCCTGTACCCCAGTTCTGTATGCATAAATAAATAAATCTTTAAAAAAAAAAAATCCATCGAGGCTTTGAGAGAACTGGATTCAAATCCCGTCTCCCATTGTAGATCGGCCCTGGCGACAGTCTCAAGCTCGTGTCATTTCTACTTCCTTTC